CAGGTGCCCGCCCCAAACGAGAGCGCGACGCCGACGCCGACCCCGCAGGTCTGCGGCGGACGCCGAGGACGCCGAGGACGAGGACGCCTGGAGGGCATTCTAATAGTGTTCTAAGCAAGCCGTGTGTGTTGACTTGCCCGACGCCGTCTAGATGACCGTCCGTAATGGGATGCAGGACTGCGTCCAAAACTTCCGTCTCTGATTGAACGCCGCGCCGCAGTCCAGACACAGATTCCCGCCGCTTGCCATTCGGGTCCACCGGGCGCGGCGAGGCGGCGAGGCGGCGAAGGAGAAACGGTACCCCGCGCTGCGAGCTACGATCACCTTGGCAGCACTTGTGCAAGTCGAGGTGTGTGACCCGCGGGCCCTTGGGGCCGCCGCCCTGCCCCTCCCCTCCCCGCCCCGCCTCCGCCCGACCGACCGCCCGGCCTTCGCGCCGCGCTGACCTGGATAGGTTGCAAAACGCGGCGCGGCGGCGTAGGGTACAACGACACGCCGCGGCCTCTCCGCCAAGGACACCGCGGAATACGCGGCGGGGCCGCCGGGACGGGCAGGCCGCCGAAGGGCCCACCGAAGGGCCCCGCCGAACGGGTGGGCGTGTTGCGTCCTCCGGTCCCGGAGTCCCGGAAGTTCGCCCCACTGATGCAACGGCAACGGTGTCTTCTCCGCCTCGCCGTGAGCGAAACGCCGCGGCGCGCCGCCCGCCCGAGCTGGCAGGCTGGCAGTCGGGGCTCACGAACTCTAGGGAAACCTTGGGGCCGCGGCCAGGCGCGGGTCCAGGAGGGGGTACAGATGCCTACGTAAGGCCCTGCAGGACGTTGCGGGGCCAACTTTGTCGCGAACCCAGCGGTGGCTTTCGATACCCTTACGATGACAGGTGTCTTGTTTGTGTGGGCCGTGATGTCAGGATTCTGGACTTGTTGACGGGAACCTGTGGTTAGGTTGGCCTCGAGGTTTTAGGGCTGCGCCTGCTGCCGCGCCCCGCCCCGCCCCGCCGCGCCCCACCCCGCCCCGCCCCGCCGCGCCCCGCCCCGCCACGCCCCGCCGCGCCCCGCCACGCCGCGGCGCCGTGCAGTGGATGGCCATCAAGGCAGGGCCACGCAGGGCAATGCCCCGGCCGCGCCGCGACCCGCGACGAGGCTCGCGACCCGGAGCGCTGGAGCAGCAGGAGAAGTAGGCCACCGCGGCCACCGCGGCCGGGATGGGATGGGACGGGACGCCGAGGCTGGAGGCTGAGGCTCGGCGACGAGGAGATGGAGATGGCCGCGACAATCGGCCCTGCTTCCGGTGGACAGCGGACTGACTCTCCGTCTCTGTCGCACTCACGAGGCGTCCCACAGGGGTGCGAGAGAGACAGTGCGACGGAGCACTGTTCGAAATCATCCCGGCCTCCGCGGCCACCGAAGGCACAGCTTACAGCGTACCGCCAGCCGTAGAAGAAGAAACTGCTTGCGATTCGTACAGAGAGGTTGGGTGGTCACGGCGCGTATGTCAACTTTTTCCAGCGTGACGTCGGGCTGACCCTCTATGGAGGACTCGGAGGAGTAGGGGCATTTACCGCTACGCTGCGCCGCGGCGGCCGAGGCGCTACGCCGGGACAAGCGGTACAGAACACGCCAAGGAGAGAAGCAGGGGCCAGGCAGGCGGGCAGGCAGGCAGGCGGGCCGCGAGAGCAAGGCGAAGCAAGGCGAGAGCCTGGAGGGGCTGCGGCAGGCTGGCAGGCTGCGGCCCAGTTTTGCTGCCGCCAAGGCCTTCAACGGCCTGTCTGGTTTCAGCCATTATCGAGCGGAGTGTGTGGGCGCGGGTTCGAATACCCGCTAGTCCTGGTGTTTTTAGTGGTGAGGTTGAGCATGGTCTCTTGGTCACAAAAATGCGAAACGACGGATAGCGCGCCGAATATTGTTCGCGGTTTCGACCGAGGTTTCGACTTTCAAGCGCGGCTCGACACCCTAAAACTGCGTTTATGGGCTAGCTCGTTCCGAACAGGCGCTATCTCTCTCGCACCCGTTCGGCACGGCCGGTGCGTGCGATGGGTGCGAGCGAGACAGAGCGACGAAAGCAGTGTTGGGAATGAGCCTGCAGCAGCCTGCAGGCCGAGCGACCTTTCTTTCCCGGACAGTCTGATCGCCTTGAATGCGGGCACGGCGCGGCACGGCGCGGCACGGCGCGGCACGGCGCGGTGGTCTCTCTGTCGCAGCCGCGACGTGGAGCAGCCCGTCACAGCCCGTCCCCCTCGCACTCGGGCCGCGGCACCGCGGCGCGGGCAGGCCCGGGGCCCAAGGCGAGTCGCCCACTTGAGCTCCTGCACCCCAAGGTCTCGCGTCCCCCCTGCACTCCCCTGCACCCCCCTGCACCGCAGGGTGGCCTTGCGCTGGGCCGTATGTGCACTGCGAGACTGCGAGGCCCCCTCTCTCCTCGCGGCAGTGTGGGCGACGCACCGGTTCGCCCACGGCCAGGTTGGCCAGGTACGAGAGGCCCCCAGGCGCCCCCAGGCGAGAGGCCCCGAGGCCAGAGCGGCGCCGCGACGACCCACTCCTCCGCGATCGCCGTGGATCGCACTTCGCCTGCCCTGCCTGCGCTGCCTTCGCACTCAACGCGTCGCAGCGTCGCTCCGAGACCGCCCCTCTGCTCCGCGCTCCGCGGCTTCGCGCTCTGCTCGCTCTGCTGGGGGTTCTTGGGGTCGGCCCGGGCACGCCCGCCGCGCAGCCGCGCCGAAGTACGAGCAGATGTGCTGACAGGATGACTGCCTGGGCCGCGCCACCGGCAGGCCTCACTCTGTCTCTCTCGCACCCGAACGGAACGGCCCGCGAGTGCGAGCGAGCCGCGCAAGCGATGTTCGAAAGCACTCGGCAGCAGGCTGTGCCGCGCTGTGCCAGGCTGTGCCGCTCTCCTGGCCGCTGACCTCTCCCTTCCTCCACGCCCACGACGACGTGCACGACGACGTGGTCCCGAACGGTCACCCCTCCCCCTCGAAAAACCTTTCCATTTGGCGCTAAACGAGCGCAGCGAATTTGCCAAACTCGCGCCGCCGCGAGTCGTATTTCGCATTTCGCGCCGATGTTGGCAAATGGCAAATCGGCGCCGGGCCCTGACACCTGTCTATCGGTCGCCGACCTCGCGGGGCCGCCGCCACCGCGCCAAGAGCCATGACAGCTGGCACGCAGCGCCGGCTTCAGCTGCAGGGGCGTAACGGGAGGCGGGCGGGCGGACAGACGGACAGACAGGCTGGCAGACAGACAAACAGACAGACGGATGCGGTGTAGCCAATCGCTGCGTGCGCCGCGCCGGCTACCGATATCTCCGCGTTGTTTGAGCACGACGTTTCGCCCAGTGCCGTCCCGGCCGTCCCTTTCAAGCCACTCCCGGCGGCGCCCTGTCTCTCTCGCACCCAGGGCTGCGGGGCGCGCCGTGAGTGCGAGAGAGACGGCGACGAAAGCCGTGTTCGGGGGCTGCTTGGTGGTGGCGGTCGTCCGACTCGTCGTCCGAGCATTGTGTGCTGCCGGCTTCCTCGTACACTTGGCTGGAACCCCTTCCCTTCCCGTCGCCGCACAGTGGGCCAGAAGACCGGTGGAGGCAGCAAAAATTCTAGACGCGTTTTGAGCTCCAGAGTCGCTAAACAGGACTCGAACCGAACGTGTGACCCCACCAATGGATTCCTCGTCCGGAGAGCAATCCATTGGTGGGGTCACACGTTCGGTTCGAGACCCATTCAGCGACTGTGGAGCTCAAGACGCGTCCAGAATTTTTGCCGCCTCCACCGGTCTTCTGGCCCACTGTGCGCCGTGGGGGACGCCGTGGTTGGCGGCAGCGCAGCAGTGTAGCAGCTGGAGAAGAGCGAGAGCGAGGGTTGCGCGTCGCGGCGAGTTGCGTCAGGCCGGGTAGCAAGACAAAATTGTGAGGCTTTGCCGGGTGTCGATCCCGCGGCTCCGCAGACTGAAGTGGCGCCTGGAAAACGCGCATGCCTGGCCGGGCATAAACGTCACATAAACACACAATGATGCTGGCCGGAGAGCGAGAGAGCGGTAGAGAGAAAGAGAGAGAGAGAGAGACGCGGGCAAAAACCCGTTCCTCTGCGACACTTTCACCCGTGCGTGCCTTTGTGCTGCGCGCGCGTGCGTGAGTGTGAGTGAGCGCGCATCGGCTTCGAGATGCTGCACACGTCCTTCTGTTGCGTGCTATCGGTGTCTGTGTGTGCGCGCGCGTGTGAGAGTGAATTTTGTTGTGTGTGTGCGACCGTGTGGTGTCGGTAGATAAAAACATTTGAGATGGTTATCTCCATTCTGAATTTTTTCCGCTGCCCAGTTCCCTCGTTTGATCGGGTGGATTTTTAAAGAATGCGTGGTGGGGTGACTGCCCTGCTGCCTGCTCTCGCGCGGCGGCGGGGCAAAAGTCTTAGTCAGCCGCAGGCAAACAGGGACTGCCCGTGTGCCTTTGCTTCATCGTCCCTCCCCCTTTCCCTTCTCCCCTTCGCTCCCCCTCCCTTTCCCTGTCCGTCCATCCCTTGCCTCCCTCGACGCGCTCGACGCGCTCGGCACACGGTTCGCGAAAGTTAGGTTATGTCGGCTTGTACCGCCCACCCTGCCGCCCCGCCCCGCCCCCCGGCCCTTCCCTTCCCTTCTCCTCCCCTTTCGGCTGGCCGGCACTCTTCACCCCGCTCACCTCAGGCTGCCCTGCCTGCCCTGCCTGCCCTGCCTGCCCCAGGCCGTGCCGTGCCGAGCCGAGCCGCGAGCGCTGCGGAGCCGAGCCGCGCCGCGGCCGGTGGGGCGGAGCCGAGCCGGGACAGTGCCCCAGTAACGCGGTGTGGCGCGGCGTGGCGGCGTGGCCGTGCTTACAGTTCACTTCAGTCTGCTGGCAGCGTTCGCGGCGAACGGTCCGTCCGGTTCGCGCCGACCAGAGTCCCACTGCGCACCGCGCAGCACCGCGACGCGACGCGGGAGCGACAAGGACAGACAGGCGACGCCGCCGCCGCGACGAAGGCCCAGCTGTTTGGCACGGCGTCGCGCGGTCGCGCCCGCCAGTGCGCCGGCGCCCGTCGAGCTGCACGCTTGTGCGTGTGTGTGTGTGTGTGCGTGTGTGTGCGCCGCTGTTGTTGTGAAAGTAAACAGTGATGGTGCGAGTGCGCGTGAAGATGTGACCCGACCTGCGCTGCATTGCCTGCATGCACGCGGCCCAGTGATTCAGTGATTCGGATGTTGCTCGCCGAGTGATTTGGTGGCTGGATGAGTGTCACCCGGTGACGAAGCGACGTCGGTGCGACGAAGTGACGTCACTTACTGGATTCGCCGTAGCGCCGCAGCGCTGCTGACCGACCGCCTTTTCGCCGAAGACCCGCTGCCCCCGGCAAAGTAGGTGGCCTGTTATCTCCGCAACGCGGCAACGCAGCGCCAAGCGGCGCAACGCAAAGCCAGGAGGTCCTTGGCCGGGCTAATTTCGCCCCGTGGGAATGGAGGGATCATCGGGTAGATAAAGAAGTCCTCCCCCGGGCCGTGCGCCGTGCGCGCTCTGGAGAGGCGCTTCGCCCGCTTTGCTCCGCGGCCCGGCAAGTCTGCGACCCGGCAAGTCTGCGACCCGGCCCGGCCGGGCCCGGCGGAGCGCCGGGGGAGGTAGGCAACAGTCGGACACAGCTGTGCGGCGGGTGGCCGTCCGCAACCCGCAGGCTGGCCGGCTGGCTGGCCGGCTGGCTGTCCGGCTGGCACGGACACGCGCGGTTTCTCCGTCGCGTCACGTTTCCCCGGAGTACTCGTGGCAAATTTGAGCCACGCTTTGAACTTTATCCCACGAACTCGTGTCACACATGATGTAGTGAGTCACGCCGACTCACTCCACTCTCGGGGGTGGGGGGAGCAGCGTGACAGACACATGTGCCTCGCACGGCCCCCGGCGCTGCGGCCGCGGCATGCATGCTGCATTGCTGCATTTCGCCGCCTGGCCCTCGGCCTGGCCGCTTCCCCCGTTTTCGGACAGGGGCGTGTTGTTGTCGCCGCCATGTTTGCGAGGCGGCACCGGGCGGTGCGTACACAACAACAACATCATCAACAACAACAGCGACAGCTCCGCCGTGGCCCTGTTATCGTATCGCGGCTGGTTCCGAGCCCCGCGGGGCGCGCCCTGCCTGCCCTGCCCTCCTCGGCTCAATGGCTTCGCTTCGCCTCGCTTTGCCTCGCTTCGCCTCGCCGCGACCTGCTTTTGGCCTTTTGGCACTGTGCTGCCGTTCGGGTTGCCCACCTCGAGGGCGCTGCCCCGTCGTCGCGTCATAGCGTCCGTCGGCCTGCCCGTCCGGGTATTGTGTCGCGCCAGAAGCCAGAAGCAGCCCTGATGCCTGCACAATGTCAGGATGTTGCCGAGACAGCGACGGTGCAGTGCCCGTCGCGGCTCTGGCGACGGGCGGGTCGTGGGTTCAAATACCGACACAGCGCCGTCTTTTTTTCGCCCAGGATGGAAGCCCCGCTGCCTCTGCGCCTGGCTTGACTTCGCCCTGAAGGATACACCGCTTCTTGTGGGAGTCCGGGCCGAGGCTGTGGCCGAGGCTGTGGCCGAGGCTGTGGCCGGCGGGCGCGTACAGCCTGTGGCAAAACCATGGGCTCGCGCCGCTTGCGCTTGCGGTGTGGTGAGGGTCGTGGCGGCCGGCCGGGTCGGTGGCGTCGGTGCCGTCGGTCCTCGGCGCGCGCTCCACGGAACGTATCTCGGCCGCGCGGCCCCGGGACTTACGCCCCTCTCCGCGCCATCGGCCTTGACAACCTGTCAGAGGTTTGAGCAACACCACCTGCTGCTGTAAGCGCACAGCCGCCCAAGGCCCCCAAGGCCGGCGCTGTGGTGCCGACCGGCCGCCTGCAGGCCGCCTGCAGGCTCGCCGGTCCCTCTCTCTCGCACTTGCAGGACGCCCCGTGAGTGCGAGAGGGACAGACCCTCCAGGGATGCGAGCCGTCCGACTATCGGTTACACCCAACCTTCCGGAAGGCGAAGACGGCAAGCGCGTCGCGTGGGTGTGTGAGTGACGAGGTGCGTGTGTGTGAGCAGATAAGAACCCACATAGATGAAGGAAGGAGCGAATGAGGCCACGTGTTTGTGCGGCTCCGTCACCCGCGCAACTTTCTCGCAGTGATGGTGTTTGACTGCCTGGAGAGGGAGCCCCTCCCGGCCGGCCCGGCCCGGCCCAGACGCCTGGAAGCTTCAGGAAGAGTCCTGGAGGGATCGGCTCGGTCCTGGACATCTGTGTGACCCCAGAGGTTCTCCAGGGAAGGCCGGAGTTACTGAGAACCCCGTGGGTGACAGGCCCTGGAATGCCCAGCCTCCAGCCTCCAGGCTCCAGGTTGTTGCCTCCAGCTCCAGCATGACCTTTGCGCATCCGCCTACCATTGCGGGGACGGGACGGCGGGGACCGAGGCGATGCTCAAGTGAGGCGAACGTCATCATCGTCGTGACTAACTGCTGTCGAAGAGTGGCCAGCCCCGCCAGGCTCCAGCCCCGCCAGCCGCAGCGCGGCGTGCATGGCCCCGCCGGCCGTGGTCCTGGCCGCGCCGCGCCGCGCGGCACGTCGCCGAGGCCGAGAGGACGGCGTGGATGTTCGGGCCGAGGCCGAGGCCGTCTGTGGGAGGCCGGGAGACGCAGCCTTGCCTCTCGGCCCGCCCCCCGCGGTCCGCGCCCGTGCTCCCCGCGAGGCACTCCAAGGACGCCGCGGCACGGCGCCCGAGCTGCGGCACGGCGAGCATGGCGGCGAGCGGGACGTTGTGAAACCCACGGCACGGCCGGCCGGCCGCACGCCGCACGGCCCCATGCAGCGTGCTGACTGGCTGGCTGCTGCCTGGCGGGCGTGTCTCACAGCGACCTCGTTCAGTTTGACCGAGGTCAGACCCTGTGCCGCGCCGTGCCGCGCCGTGCCGCGCGGAGTGGAGCGTGGCGTACCTGTCATGGATGCGGACTCCCCCGGCCCGGCCGGCCAGCCCGAGTGCCCAGAGCCCTGCTCTCTCCAAGCCCCCTTCATTGACTGCGTCGCTTTGATCGATTGATCGGTCATCTCGTCGGGTGCAGTGTGGGTGCATCCGGTGTGACAGTTGCACGCGTGCCCGGTGGTTGCGCGGCGCAGCTGGCGCAGCCTGCCCTCTGCCGATTGCGCCGATTGCAACCAAGGCAGTGTAGGCGCAGGACGGCCGCCGGCGTTGTTTGCCGAGCAGTGTGCTGACCTCTTTCGCCTTCACGATGGAGGTCGCTCCGCGCTCCGCCCCAAGGCGGCGCCTCAAGGACATCGGGACGGCCCCCTCCCCCTCCCCCTCCCCCACCTCCGCCCGTTCTGCTTTCGTGTCCTTGAGTCGGCCTGTCGGCTGTCGGCCCGACGCGACGCGGCGCCGGCGAACTTGGTCGGACTCGACGCACCTTTCCACGCGTTACGCGTAACGCCCCTTCCTCTCCCCCGCCAACTTGGCTTCGAGCGACGCCTCGCCTCGGTGGCGTCGGTGGCGTTAGCAGCGTTAGCTACCCTCCGAACCACACTCCGTACTCCGCGCATCACTGGCGGTGCTGGCGGCCCGCCCCACCCACTGCGTCGCAGCGTCGCACTACAGGCCGGGGATTTTGGCAGTGTCAATGGCCTGTGTGTCCTTTGAGCCCTTGGCGAAGGCAGGGTGCAATTATCCCGGCACCCCACCTTTGGCCTGAAGGGTGAAGGGCGAGTGGCGTGGCCGGCGTCGTGCTTCCGCTGCTTCCGCTTCCCTTGTCTCCCCCTTCCACCCTCCCTCGCTGCTCCATGTCAAGGCCGCTCGGACGCCGGCAGTGGCGTAGCAGGCGTAGCGGTGGCAGAGCGGTGGCGGAGCCAAAGCCGCGCGCCTCCCCCTGCGCCGCTGCCGCCCCCGCACCCCCCACCCGACCTTTGGCTGCCTTTGGCGGGCCGAGCTACGCCGCTGCTTCGCTGGCGGGCCTGGCGGGCACCACACTGGTGTAGCAAGGACGCCGCGCCGCCTCCCCGCCGACCTCGGCGCCGTCCTCGCCGTCCTCGCTGGCCCGCTCCGCCTGGCGGCCTGGCGGCCTGGCTCTGCGTTCCGTGTCAAGGCCGAGTAGGGCCTCTGGCTGCCCCTGGCTGCCTCTGGCCGGCCTGGCGCCGAGGCGAGGCACGGCGAGGCGGCTTGGCGGGGCGCGGGGCTTGGCGCGGTGACGTGCCGCCAAGGACACCCCCTTCCTCTGGGAGACTTGGGGGACGCCCCCTCCGCGTATTGACAGCAGCAGGCCCCGCCAGCCCCGCCAGCCCCGCCAGCCCCGCCGCCAGAGACTTGACTTAGCCTCGCGAAGGAAGAAAGGACGCCGTCTTGAAGTCCTTGAACAGCTGGCAGTGCGAGCAGTGCGTTGTCGGCCACCTCGACACCTGAGGTAATGAGTGCAAGAAGACGCTGGGCTGGGTCCGCCGTCCGACGTGCGTCCTGTTTTTCGACCTCGCGTCGTCGTCGTCCAATCACTCTAGCGGACGTTGTTGTTGTTGCTGCTGTTGTTTGTTTGCGCGGGGCGGCCCGGCGTCGACGCGACCCTTTTTCAGCCTAGTATTGCATGACGCGGTCCGGTTCGGCCCTCGCCTCGTCTCGACGGGAGTTTGTCGGCCCCACCTGACGGACGGCCATGCGGCCATACGGCCGGACCGGACGGCTCCAAGGTGAAAAGGGGGAGGGGGATGCGTCCAGCGGGGTGGCGCGGGGCGGCGCGGGGCGGCGCGGGCCGCGGGGTAGGGGTGGTAGCTTCGCGGCTTGGCGGCCGCCCCTGACAGAGGGCGTCCGGTGTCACTGACCAAACGCCCGGGCGCGAGCGGCGAGGGCGGCGAGGGCGAGCAGCGAGCGCGGCGTCAAAGGGTCGGCCCAAGGGCGTGGCGGCGCCGCTGCAGCTGGCAGCACGGCGACCAGGCCACGGCGGCGACCAAGGTGGGCGTCAGACTGCCTACACTGCAGTACTGCAGTCCCCTGCCTCCCCCCCGCCCCGCGCGCCGCCTTCGTGCGTCTCTGGCCTCGGCGGCCGTCGCGGCCCGCGTCAAGCAGCGTCAAGCAGCGTCAAGCAGCGTCAACACGGCGGTGGATGCACGGCGCAAGGCGCGCAAGGCGCGCAAGGCTCGCCGGCGCCGCTAGAGAGGCTCGCTACAGCAGCGTGAGCAGTGCCGTTGGCGGACGGGAGATGCTGGCCAGCCAGGGCGACCTCGGCGCGCGGCCTCGGCTAGCGCGGCCCGCGGCGGCGCTGCACAGTCCGTTCAGTCCGTGCACCCATAGTCATGTCGCTCTAACCTTGGCCCGTCCGTCCCGTCCGCCGCACTCCGCCGCGCTCCGCCACGCGGCTAGGCCGGGCGGCCCATCCGGTCAAGGCTGCCCGTCGTCCCCTATTCGCCCGACCCGGCCCGACCCCTCTCTGGCCTCGCCGTGCCCCCAACGCCCTTCACCCCCCTCCACGCGGCGGTTCGATGTGCAGTGCAGAGCGCCTTGGAGGTAGGCAACCCACCCGAAGCCACCGCCGTGGCGGCAGGCAGTCCTGCGCGCACGCCTGCATGCGGGCTGCCTAGGCGCCGGAAGTCCCGGCGCCGTGGTCCCTGCGGTCTCGGCGGCCCGCAGACTCGTCTCTCTCTTGAGCCCGTTCGGGACGGCCCATGAATGCGAAAGAGACAGAGCGACGAAAACGCTCGGAATGAATCTGCTGCGGCCTCGGCCGGGGCTAGAGCCGGGCGGGGAAAAGAAAAGACTCTGGCGAGCAAAGGTGGCGCTGCGCTGTGCTGCGCTGTGCTGCGCTGTGCTGCGCTGTGCTGCGCTGCGTTGGCTGGCGGGCTGGACTGGCAGGCGGTGGCAATGGCCGCGTTTAGCGCTGCACTGCATACGCCTTGCCGAGCCAGGCCGCCAGGCAAGGCAGGCCGACACGAGCGCGACGACACAGGCCAGCCGGCCAGCGCGGCCAGCGCGGCCACAGCCCAAAGGCCTCGCCGAACCTTTCAAGGTGACACTCGGGGCCGCGGTGGACGTGGACGTGCGGACGCCACTGGCTGCCTCTGGGCTGCCTCTGGCCACGCGACTGCATTTGCCGCGGCCAGCCGACACGCCGACACGGACTGGAACCGCTGGGAGTGCGTGCAGCTGGTAGCAACGCCACCACCATGCTGTCTCGGTTCTTGTGCACCGACAAAGTGCAGGCCAACGCGGTGCCGGTGGCGGCTGGTGGTGCTCGGCCCTCCTCCGCGATGCCTTCGTCGCCCCGTCCCTCTCGCACTCGTGGGGCGTCCCGGCGTCCCGCAGGGGAGCGAGAGAGACAGCGGCAGCCTGCTGCAGCACGACGAGCACGACGCACGGCATGGACGAGTGACTCGGCGACCCATTTTTAGCGCCGCACCGCGTTTCCGTACTCCCCGCTGGCGATGCTGGCACGGCGGCGCGAGGCGGCGCGCAGCACGGCCAACGCGGCGTGGCGCTCGCCGGCGTCGGCGTCAGGACCAGGACGACGGGCGGACGACGGACGACGCCAACCCGGTCAGGATGCCGTCGGGACCGGCCAATTATTTTGGCGCGTGCGCAGGTGCGCGCATTCGCACGTGTTCTCGTGTGAGAGAATGAGTGTGTGTGAGTGTGTCTGTGAGGAGTAGAAGGAGGGGAGGGGTCAACTTCCTCCGAGGCGCTATTCCCAGCGTGGCGAGGCGCCGCGGGCCGACGGACTCGACTCATCCCATCCCCCCGCGCCGCCGCGCCGCCGTGCCGGTCCTCGCGTTCCCGCGGTTCTCTTCCGCCAATGGCGAAATCCCCGCCACGCTGCGGCACGCGGCGCGCCTCTCGCGGCGTTATGGTTCATTCACCTCGTCCTGCAGTCTTGCAGCGCTTGCAGCGCTTGCAGTGTGCACGCACAGTGGCCGCGGTGCAGCCGCGGCGCAGACGCGCCCCCTTCCCCTTTCCCGCGAGACTGTGAGAGAGAAGCTCGACCGCTTCCTTCCGTTTCCTCCCGATACCCGCGATGCGCATTGACCATGGCGGCCGCGGAGGCCACCGCCATCACCGCGAGGCCGCCGCCGTCGAGGGTCGCCGTCGTCCGCGCCGGTGCCTCCACTGCCTGCACTGCTGCACTGCCTTCAGGGGCTCGGTGACGTCATTAGCCTAAAATTACGGTGTGCGCCATCAAGCACGGCCCAGCCAGGCCCAGCCAGGCCCAGCCAGGCCCAGCATCCTCACTGCCAATTTACCTGAGGCAGCCCGCGGCAGGCAGGACAAGGCAGGCGGCGACGCAGTGCGACGCATGCATGGCGGCCCGCTGCAGTCCAGGGGCAGCTGGGCTTGGGGCAGCCACAGGCAGCCACCTGCCGGCTGGAGCGGGCCGGAACACTGAGCGAGCACCTGCATGGCGGCGCGTGGCGTGGCAGGCTCAATCCTTCATTCCGAACAGCGTTTCGTCGCCCCGTCGATGTCGCGTCAGGAGAGAACTCTTGTCAACGTCGGTCGCTGTGCGGCGCTGTGCCTGTGCGGCGGGTTGGCTGCCCGCAGGCCGCGGGCGTCGTCAGGGCCGTCCTGGCCGTCCTAGCGGGAAAAGACTCCGCCCGCTGCGCGCTGCGCCCCGCCACGCCCCCTCCCTCCTCTCCCCGCGATGCCGCGATGCATTGGTCGTGCGACTCGACCCTGTTCCGCTGCTTCTCCTTGGCCAGGGTGACCTTGTGCCAAACGCACGCTACACTGCGAAGAGACACTGCTTGTTGCTGCTGCCCCCAACCCGCCAAGCCGCCAGCCATGGCCGCTTGCCGCTTGCGCCCGACAGCGCAGCGCGCCCGCAGCGCGCCCCTACCACGCCGCGACCTCCCTCCCCTCCCGCCTCTGGTCTAGTGCCATTGCAGCGCCTTGACGCGCTACTCCTATCCGCGACAGCCGCGAGTCTAGTGAGCCTTGCGCCCAGGCAGCCCAGACTGGTGTGAGTGTATCCTTGTCGCGACTCACAGCGGGCCGGGCCTTACAGTGGGGGGACCGGCCGGCTCGGCGCCACTCGGCGCAGTCACAGCAGTCAGCATAACATTTCCACTGACTCGGAGAATGCGTTCAAACCACGCCCAGCTTTCGGAAATGTGACGTTTTGTTTTTGTTGTTGCAGGCGCAGCAGGATGCACGGCATCATGGAAGGTCCGGGCGAGGAACTGACAGTGGCGGCCATCGCGACGGAGGGCCCCGACGACGGCCACCACCACCTTAACGGGGTGAGCACGGCCCTCCTGGACAACGGCGCGCCGTCACCGCCGCCCCCCAAGGAGGCCGTCAAGGACGCCGTGAAGGACGCTGCCGGACAACCCTCGCCACCGCAGTCGCCGCCCGTCGCCTCCACGTCGGGACCCTCCTCGCCGACGGACAAGAAGGAAGAGACGGTGGCGGCGGCCTCACCAGCGGCCTCGCCAGCGGCCTCGCCCCCGCGAGTAGCGTCACCAGTGGCGGCCACTTCGCCTGCAGCCTCGCCTGCCGCCTCGCCAGCGCCGTCCCCACCGGCGGCGTCGTCGCCAGCGCCGTCACCGCCGGCGGCGGCTTCCTCAGCGACTTCACCAGCGATTTCGCCAGCAGCTTCACCAGTGGCTTCACCAGCGGCGGAGGACGAGTTGGTCCCAGTGGCGTCTCCGGCAGCGGCAGCCTCGCCAGCTTCGCCGTCGGGCGCGTCGGGCGCGTCGGGCGCGTCTCCCGCTCCAACCCCAGCGGAGCACTCGGCGGACGCGGACCACGCGGACGCGGCGGCGGTCGCGGTTGACGACGCTTCCGCGGCGGTGAAGGCGACGGAGAAGGATGCCTCGGATGCGCCGGCCCCGGCGGCCTCGCCCGCCTCGCCCGCCTCGCCTCTCGACGCGGACCCAGCCGCCGCGGACGAGGTCGCCCCGTCCCCGCCTGTGGCCGAGGCCGAGGCCGCCGACGGAGACGCGACCGAGGCCGCGGAAACTGCTGCGCCCGCCAAAAAGAGCGAAGGTGAGCACCGGGACCGGGAACGCGGCCTAGGGGGAGCCGGGGCGGAAATGCAGGAAGCGCGTTGCTTTTGAATCTCTGGACAACGCGGTCGCGGTCCGAGGGAATGACCACACGTGGAGGGGGTGGCAGGGCACGCGGCACGCCCACTTCGTGTCGCTGTTGGTTAATGTCCAGGGGCTGTAGAATTACTTTGCTTCTAAGAACCGCCGCTTCGGCGAATGCCGATTCACTGACGTGCTCTGCGTTGCGGTTTGGCGCGGATTTTCGCACTGCGGTGTTGGCAACAATGAATCAATGGATGAGGATTGGCATGTCTGGGTTCGCACTATGCCCTCCTCCGGGAAGAGTTGCTGGTACTTCATGTTTTGATATATTTTACCGATTGCCGATGGCAACTATTTATCTTTTCTTTGAAAATGTGTCGTCCAGAAGACAATTCATAATCTCTCAGTATTTTTAGCTTCATTTAATCAGAGTGTGGACATTGCTAAATATTTTGTTTTGCTATTTTTGTTACAGGGGATCCCTCCGGAGATTTAAATCTAGACAATAATGCCAGTGCCATCGATATCAAAGACGGCAAGGCATCTGATGAAAACAGTGAAGCTCCTGAAACCAGTGTAGCATTGAAAGAATTGAACAGCAATGTGACTGAAGATAAAGATGATGCTACTGGTCCTAGTGATGTAGATGGGACTGTTAAGCTGCCAAATGAAAGTGAAGTCAGTGTTAAAGTTGAACACGATAGTCTTAGCACCAACGGAGAGTCACCGTGCCCAAATGATGTTCAGAAAGACACTAGTATGGACGTTGAAATTCATCCTGATGAGGAAGCAAGTGCGACATCTGAGAGTGAAAACTCTGTGAAAGACAACCTTAGTGCTGGAAGTGAAGATTTCAGAATGGATGTAGATCTGCCGTCAACAGATGTGAAAACGGAGGTGAGTTTGTCTTTATTTTTATCTGCGGCAAGATGCAATGCAAATCATTCCCTAATCTGCTATTGTTTTGTTTTCACTTACTAGGTTATTGAAGATCAAGAAAAATCTACAGATTCCGGAATAGTTTCAGAACAGTCTGCACGCAAATTACCCCAGGTAAAGTCCAGTAAATGTCTTCATAATCAAGTTGTTCTTCTTTGACTTCAAGTAATAATTTTGAATTTGTTTTGTTTACCTTCTAGAAAAGAAGCAGTGAAGACGACCTTCCAAGCAATCTTGCAAAGAAGCAGTGCCTACCAGACATTGTCTGTGGCGATGCAAATGCACTCGATTTAAGTGGAATGAAAAAGAAAGATAGTTCAAAAGAGCCTAAGATTGCCCTGAAGCCACAGTCCCTCCTGCTTAGTAAATTGCAAGGAACTTCTGATGTTGATAAGTCAAAGAAGGATGTGTACAGAAATGATGATTCTGCAGTCCAGTCAGCTGAATCTATTATCTCAAGCAAAACATCCAGAAGACGTTCATCTCGTGATGAAAAAGACTCTCGATCATCACATTATCAGGGGAGGGGTGGAGAAAACACTACTGCTCGGGTTCAAGTTGATCAAGTTCTTCGTGAGATGAGAACACGTGTTAGGAGTTCTTACAAAGAACGGGAAAAAATTGCCAAAGAGGACAGCCTACTTCGAGATTTACTGGAGCCAGAGAGAGATACTCTTATGACTGAATTTGTTGATACAGCTACTCAGGGCGGTGGCGCCTCGGAACTGGATAGGGTCTCTGCGGCTCTTGAAGCTGAAATAAGACAACTAACTGTAGAAATTAATGCAAAGGAAGCAGAATGGAATGATCTTATTAGGAAAAAGAAATTTAAGGAAGAACTAGCATTGAGGGTGCAGCGGCGGAAACAGGTTCGTGTTTTATTTAGATTTGACATACATAATATTTGTTGTTCATTTGATAGCAACAGAATCCTCTTTTCAGGTCCTTGCTCTGACAGGAGAGTCTGATGATCTTCTTTTGAGGCGAAACTCTTTTGAAGAGGATTCCCGGTCTGACTGCAAAAGGGATTCTAATGTCGATGTAAGGCACGAAAGGAGGCATGATCACTACAGGGAAGTGCCTAAAACAGAAGAGCTACTTGCTGCTGCTTTGCGTCTAGGGTCAAGGAATGTTGAAGACTATCATCATCGCAGTAACAGCTCATCTCCTTTAGCGGTACGCATCCAAGCTAGAGCTAATGAACTTCTCATTGGCTCAAATCCCACTGTTGAAAGGAAGTCATCAGGACCACCACCCGGACTGTCACACATGCAGACACCATCATTACTTCAATCTCAGCTAACTAAGCCGACTGAAATTTCACCTAGTTCCCCCCAGTCGCAGTTTTTACTGCAGCATTTGCAGCGACAGGTTGGCGCTGAATTTTTATTTTGGAATGCTCTTTGAGTTGGGAACCATTGGTTGGACTCTGCCACTACTAATATTCCTTTGACCTTCCGGGCATTTTGAAACCCTGCTTATATTTGCTCGCACTACCTCTGCCATGTACTACAAATGCCAGTCACATAACAATTGGATGCTTATGGTTTTATCTGTGAGGACAAACGTGGGGTCATTTCAATCGAATCGATTGTTGGCTTTCACTGTCCTGTGCATGTTGCGTTGGTTGTGGAATGCACTTATTCAACAAAACTAGCTTTTGAGAGTAGAATCCACATTTTTTGTGAAAGGCAAGGATTCCTATGCTACCAATAAACCTGCCAATTGGACCATTTACTCACAAAACTTCATTTAAAAAATGAAGTATATAACAAACATATTGGCTTACCCCCTCCCTAATTTTTCTAACAACCAAACAAATTTGTCACTAACGTAAGGAATTTAATTTCTAAAATTAAAAACTCTTATGTTTGGGATTACTTGAATTTATTAAATTTATTCTTGATGATCGTAGCAAGATTATAAACTGTTTCTGAGTTCACAAATTTTTTGATTGTGTTGACAGAGAGTGGGCGCGGTCAGCAGCGCTGGTTTAGCATGTCGACAACTATCTTCCTCTGTCTCCCTATCTGCCTTACCCACCTCTACTAGCACCTCTTCAGCCCTAAATGCTTCTCTCCCCTCTACTGCAGTTCACAAGGTGCTTTTTCTCACAATGCCTTTCAGTTTTTTGAATGTAACTTTGAGAAACTTGAAAATAAACAACAAAACTTACCCAATCTTTCTTATTTATTTTTTTGCAGAACTTATCCCGAGTTGAGAAGCAGGTCTCTGCTGCGAGTGCTTCAAGGATGCAGAGACCCATTCTGCCTAAGCCGAGCACTGCTACCAGTGGGGGTCACGTGGTAAGTGATTCTTCACAAGACGGCAGTGGGAAAGGCATCATCGGTGAGGGTCGACAGGGTGCCATCATTGACGTCCAGTCCATCATCGCAGACTATCGCTCCCAACACCCGGAGAATGTCCCCCGGCGTGGGCGCAGAATGAAAGCGTCTGGGATGGTGAGTAGGCCTGTTTGCTATGTCTTTTCAGAATTGCTTGCTCAGCACTTAAAAATTGTTTGTTTTGTCCTAGTGTTTTCAAAGTATTCCTCTGTCTTTCCTCTTTCTTTTTGTTGTTTTTGTCATTTCACTCTCTTCACTAAGAAACCTGATATGGTTGGGAATGGTGAGAATAGTCTCATGAACTGCACTTTGTTGCTGCAGTTCTATGAATTACCTTTAAAGGTAGATGTCTTGTCAGTCTGTCAATGGAAATGGTATTGCTACCAAACCCTATCTCTAGTTATTTTAGTTAGAAGCACACCTAGCCTTCTCTTTCTGTTTGCCTCTTTCTCTCAAAAATACAATTGTCATACAAAGTCTTAGTGTATGTACTCTTACATCTGAAGTTTCAAGCAGAACCACTGGTATGTATAGCTTGTTCAGTTATTAGCATGGAATTTACTCTGAAGGTGGACCATCATGAAAGGTATTGCCTGCATGAGTTGCCTATGCGTTGGTTCTAACAATCATACTCCTCATAATTAATCTAACACATAAAGCATCAGTAGTTAAAGATATCTAATTTAAGACACAATGCAGGTAGAGTAAAAATTGTAATTTTTCCAAAATTGTTGATTAATATTGATTGTTAATTCATTAAGATTTTGCCATCTTTCCAAATTTTGTTTTTATGTCTTTTTTGGGGGGTGTTTAGTTTTGTTTTATTTGATAGGTATTGTTTTCTTTTACAGGTGTCCGACAGCATGATGGCCAGCGCTAGACCAGGCAGTAGCAGTGGTGGAGGACTTCTTATGTCGTTGCCAGCGCTTGGTTCGGGCTCGCATGTTCGAACGGGCTCGGGCACTTCGATCCACGGCAATGCTCCAGTGGATCTGTCTGAACTTGGCTTTGTTCTAAGTTCAGGGGCTGGGAGTGACGGGCCTTCGCGACCCTCAAGTACAGAATCATCTCTCAGTGGTGCTCCCTCTCAGGTAATTAATTATGTTATCCCTTTCATGGTATACATTTTTATTTATTTTTATTTCAATGACCGTAAATTGGTAATGTAATGATGGATTGCTACCTCAGGTAAATCAGGAGTCTGGCATGAGCTTCAAAGATGTTTTGGTCCAGTTTGCCAAAATGACGAATGCCAATGAGCAGAGTGCCATGAACCCTCAAGGAGGTTTGGGTTTACCAGGACGACCGCCACCGCCTCCTTACCCGGAGGTTACTTTGCACCCGGTTGTGAACCCTACACCAGTTGCTAGCCCAGTGCCTGCAGCAAGTGCTCCTCCAACTTCCCTGCTCCACAATATCCTAACAAAGCCCACCAATCAATCATCCAACAATGGGAGCCAATCTCATGCCAAGCCCACTACATTTTCTCCAACACTTGCTCGCTTGTTGACTGCACCTGAGAGAAGCTCATCTGTATCTCATCATTCTACTCATCATTCTACGCCCGTATTGCCCCAGTACCAACCATCGGCAGTATCGAATTATGGGACTACTGGATCTGTGTTACTAAGTGACCTTCTCTCAGTGGGACCATCTAAAAAGGTACGGAATGGACATTTTTCAAGTGCGTAATAGTGAGCCTGATTCTTTTGTTGCCAGCTGTTAACCTGATATTTTCTTTATAGGCACGTAGTGAATTAACCATAACTCCAGTATCAGCTTCGTCTGCCACTTCCAATTCGTCAATGCCAAGTATGAAAAGGAATAATGAGGTGGTCGTCCTGGTGAGTGATTCATTGCAGTATTTGGCATCTGTCCTTTTCTTGAACCAGTCATGTATTAACTGAGCCTTTTGGATTTAGGATGCTGATATTAATGGAGATGAAGGCGATGCCTCAGATCCAGATGAGCGTCGATTGGTGATAGATGAAGGTGACAATGCTGAAAATGGAGATGATACTGACGGTCGGTCAGATAGGTCAAAAAATACTGTCCCTCATTGCCAAGGCTGTAATGAGCGAGATGCTGAATTTGTCTGTGCTGGATGTCAAAGGCAGTGGTATTGCAGCCGAGAGTGTCAAGTAAGCAAAACTCCTTGCATTTTAAGTTCTATTTATTTTTTATTAGTTTTACAAAATTAGTGCCTCCACTTATCAAATTCTATTCTTACATTTCAGATTGCGGCATGGGATGAACACTCAGAACAATGCTTTCCAGCATCAAATGACAACTGAAATTGTGATGCCTAAGACTATTTTATGTAACTTAAGGTAGAGGAATGTTCCTCATAGATATCATCATATTTATCATTTCAGTCATTCATTCATTTCATTGAGGTCAATGAAGTATGAGATGCTATTTCATGTGTAATTTATATGGTTGATGTTCTCTCAGTATACACGAGAAGCCAATACTGAGTTAGTTAATGTTCTGTTTATTACAAACAGAATGAATGATGAAATAGGTTACGTTCTGTTTTCAGTTTCTATCTTGTACAAAGTGGAAATGTAAGTTGAAATGTAAGAGTCACTATTTGAATTCATGCCTAGTCCTTGTGTAGCGTAATAATGTGGATTCTCCTAAGTATCTATTATTTAATAATTTTCTTGTCTTGGTCTTTGGTGCTGTAATGAAAATATTGCAACAATTCGCATGTGTGATAGCTTTAAACAGGCATTCTGATTGCTTGATTGTGTATCTCATTTCCTGCACTTACAATAGGTATTTGAGTACTGTAGAAACTTCAATTTTGATCTCAATCATATAATTTCTCATTGTAACAACCAGCCCATAAATCTACTGCCAATTATTGCAGAACTGTAAAGCCTGGATTCATGTTGCAAAGCAATTTTATTCCATATTACAAAAAAAAAAACCTCTCTTTGTACCTTACTGGATCAAAGAAGCAGAAGGTTTCATGCTGGAAACAACAGTGTATCTTGTTACTTTGTTCTTTCTTTATTGTTTGTAAAGTTTTGTTAATGTATTAAAACCTTTTCTAAAGTTGCGACCTATTGAACCAACTTTTTAAGTTTTTATGTTCTTTGTCTTTTCTTGGCCTTTTGTTTGTACTGCGCAGCTTGTGTTAAGTTAAGGAATTCTCCTCCTTATTTTTGTGAGATAAAAAATTGTTGTTCTTTTTTATTTCTTATTTTTTTAATGTGCTGTTTGTTTATCTTTAGGCATTGGCATATTAAATTAATTCATTTGTTTTGTTGTTTTAGAAATTGGCACCGATCCGCCAAAGAGACTATTTGTTATTATGTATCTTGTTTTATTTCGTCTCTTAAAGACTAAGTAGGTGCCAAATAATTTGTAAATTTGTTTATCTGCTGTTATTGATGACTCCAAGTACAGAAAGAATGACGATATTGTGATCATCTTTCGCTCACAAATTTGTGTGATAGTCTTTAGAATTGAAAAGGTAATGTTTGTTCCCTGTGACTGAATTAGATAATGAGTGAATGAGTTCCAAAATTTTATTATTTTAAATGTGAGTTCCATGCATTTAAAACAAGGTGACAATGAACAAAGGACATTGCCTGATTATCAATTAGTTACTATTAATTCAATAGTTTACCATCTTTCTGTGTCTTATTACTCATGAACATGCCAACACACAATTCTGATACTTGGAACTCCAAGTTGCTTTATTAATGGGAACCCATTCATAAAATGACTGCTAAAAATCAGATCATCTGGTAGATTTTGTTTTGGTTGTAGTACCCTCAAATTGCTCCTTTTTCATTTCATGAAAATCAATTGTATTGCTATATTGGAACTATGGTCACTGCCATTTCAATCTTAAATTGTGATTTGCCATTTGGACAATGGGCGATGTATTACTTCATTTAGTGGTCACAGGATCTATTGTCCTGTGCCAGACATAGATGCCATGTAATAAGTCCCCTTTCCCTCCCTTTGTTTATGTATCTTATATATGAACAACACATATATATTGTATTTCATTAAGCTGGACCTTGAATGGTCAGGGAAGGGTCAAGTGTGGTTTGTTTGTGTTTAATTTTTTCACATTATTCTTTCTCAATTGTAACCCTACTGTTATCTTGATCTAAACATCCATTATGAACTCTTTGAATAAAGTATCATAGTTACCACAAGAAAATTAACAAAGTTTAAACCTGTATTTGATTATTTATTATCCTTTTTCTTGGTCAGACTATTTAGACACGTCAGACTCCTGCATCAATATCAATTCATCCAAACCAACATTCAAACTATCTAACAGTTTTTCGCGCACTTTCTCAATTACCTCAGGGTGACAAAATGCATTAATAACTTTTTGAAGCGGAGTTTCATATCGCCTATGAAGAATACCACTATCCTTTGCCTTCATGATGCTTTCTGTCATTAATCTTTGATGTCTCTCCTTGGAGTTGCAGTTGCACTTATCATTGGTGAGATTTCTTAGTTCTTCAAGAGTGCTGCAAGGAACATATTCAGCCCTGTCCACAACAGGTAGAGGATCAGAAGCATCCATATCTGAACATTTGGATCGCTCAGTTATTTTTGACTTCAAAGCATCTGTACAATAAGTTATCATATTCGTAGAGTCACTCAAAGGAGTAGAATCAACATCATCTTCATTAGGATTAACAATTACATTTATATCGGCAAGAGATAAATCTTTCGATACTTGAGATACTGTAAACTTGACTAGGGCTTCATCTAGTCGACTGACATAATCTAAATTTGAAGCCATCCAGGAATTGATGCTAACTGATGTGTCCAAACATTCCACATAGTGCCACCAGTGGCGAGGAACAAACAACACATCTCCAGGCTTAAGATCCACAATATATATTTCTTTGCAGTCATGATAAAATTCACTTGGTAGGGGACAGTTAAAGTTCCATTTGCTATAGACACTTGATTCTTCGTATGGTACTCGTGTGGGCCTCATAGTTTTTGATTCACTTGGTGGCCAGAGAATCCAGCGTTTGGTGCCAAACACTTGAGCAACTAGATTAGAGCCATAGGTGTCATAATGACACGGGGTGTGAGCACCACCGCTTCCAATCCAAAGTGTGGACCCGGCCACTTCCATTTCTGGGAACCCCAAGCTGGACCAAGAAACAGACTTGAGAGCATTGTTGTCTTGTGGAGTCCACTCATTCAAGTATTTGTAATCAAAGTAAAACCATTTGCCAGAATCTTTCAGTTCTTTGGGATTGCGTTGAATGCTAGCGAATTCTGCAAGCGTCATTACTTCTCTACCGCAGTAACGTTCCCAGAGGGGTTGTAAGGAGCAGCTTCGCACACCGCATCTGAAGGGCAGAAGTTTTTTTCCAAACGCAGTGCTCCAGTCTTCAATATTCCACTTGAGGACTTCCCAATCGTCGATCCTGCCGTGAAAAACCACTGGTTTCGACAGGGATAAAATGAAGTCTTTCAACTTTTCCTGATTCTTCTCACACATGACTTTAAAAGGTTATCCAATATCCTTGTTTAGTTTTTAATCTGTTTGAAATATTATGTGCCTTTTCTCGACAAGCTGAGTGGAAACAACAAAATAAATACAATGTCAGATGCCCACAAAGCACGCAAGCAGACGAAAACGGTTCAGCCGGCTCGTGTATTCGCACGACAGTTTTGTTTGTTTTGTTGGACGACCATAACCACGAAATGACACCTCTTAGTGACAGCAAATGTCCCCTCTGTTCTAAACTTTCCTTCATCCTTTTCGAGCTGTGTGATCGCTGACAGTCACTATTTTTGTTACAGCCACCTTGGTTACAGCCTTGTTTCTGGTTGAAGATGAAAGTCACCAACATGTTTCAGTTGTTTTATTTTCTCTTTGTATTTTTCTATGTTACGACTCTTGCTCAAAGGCTGCGTAAGTATTGTGTATCACATGGGATCTCAGTTTAGCAACTATTCTCTCTAAATATTCTAAACCCAATTGCTGTAATTATTTCACCTTGCAACAATTTACAGTCCTTCGAGATATTGTTGTTGTTGTCATGAGTCAGCAAGACCCTTATGATACATCTCTAGCTGAAAATCTACGAGACAACATATACAAGCAAGCAGAAACACTCCAAATGGTATTCAATTTAAAAATGCCTTCAATGTCATCTTTTTCTAGCAAAACAAATTAGTGAACCTGATTGTTCTACAGGCTCCACCACCTATGCATTTTGCGCATACTGACTTTGTTCATCCTGGAGCATGGACACTTTTACCAATATTACCACAGTATGTATCCCATGAAATAGGGGGTTTTCTCAATGCATTATTCAAGTTTCAAATAATTATATTCAGCCAAGAATATGCTGTCGCATTTCTTAGACTAATAGTTTCTGAACATCTTTTCAGATTGGACTCAATGTATGGTAAAAACAGTTCATACATTCTATTTTGTCAAAGCTCTACTTCTGTTGATGCTGTCAAACTTTTGAAAGTTCTTGGGAAATATGCTCCAAAACAGGTAGAGGCTGGAAAAAAGTTATCTTACAGTTCTATTATGCACAAAACTTGTATTCACTTCTCAATTTTTTTCCAGGAGAGATGGTATGGTCATGCATTAAGAGATCAAGATACTACAATTATTCATCACTTTGCTTTTCCCAAGAACCCCAACGCATTCAAATACCCCAATTTAGCGTCAGGAGTTATTATGACTATCGATTTAATAAAAAAGTAAGATTCCGGACATTCTGAATGAGTAGTACTTCAACAACTTTTGAGTGGGCCTCATGTTTTTCTCCATCTCTGCTTTCAGGTTGTCACAAAGGTTGCAAGTAGGTGATTATCCAAAAAATCCAGACTTTTCGATCGATGCTGCTCATGAGCTTGCTCTTTTTATATGGCAGGAGGGGAAAGGTCCAGAGTTAAGGCACTTAGATTCTATGTGTGCTAGACCAGGACCTCATTGTGTCACAAAACCACATATTTTTGTTCCTTGTGTAAGTACCATGGCCTTATGAAGCATGGGTAAAAATATTTAAATTGGTTAAAATGAAAGTTATTGAATTATTTAGGAGAAACCAGTAAAGTCCAAAGATATCTATTTTGCTGTGAAAACCTGTTCCAAGTTTCATAAAGAAAGACTACCTGTAGTGAAGGATACTTGGGGTAAATACACATCTCGAATTAATTTTTTCAGTGATGTAGAAGGTGGGTTCTTATTTCCAAATTAAATCTGTCAAGAACATTTTTAAAGACAAGTTTTACAAAATTTTCATTTTTTTAAATTTCAGACTCCAGTGTTGGTTCAATAAGTCTTGGAATACCAAATACTGAACGTGGTCATTGTGGGAAAACACTCGCGATTTTGAGTTATGTATCAAGTCAGCACATTGTAGATCCCAGCATCAAATGGTTGGTCATTGCAGACGATGACACAATTTTAAGGTAAATAAAAATTTGTTTGGATTGTTGAAATTTTTTTTCTCTGTATATTGTGTTGTAACTCTAAAACATTGCTTAATCCAGTGTTGGGCGTTTGCGTAAACTGCTGTCCTGCTATAATGCGTCTACAAAAGTGGCACTAGGAGAAAGATACGGATATAATGTGGCTCTGCCAAGGGCGACAGGAGGCTACAATTACATCACAGGTGGTGGTGGAATCATTCTCAGCATACCACTTGTGCAGGTTCTTGCCAAGGGAGAAAATTGTATCTGTCCATCAAATTCAACACCTGATGACATGTACTTGGGAATCTGTCTGGCAAATTTGGGTGTTCCTATTATTCATTCGCCACATTTCCATCAGGTAACCCCTGTCTAATCATGCTGATTGCCCCCCTCCCTTTTTTTTTGTGTTATGCTCTTATCTTATTTCAATTCTCTTTCAGGCAAGGCCCTCTGATTATGCAAAAGGCTATTTAGAATCTTACCGGCCAATTTCCTTTCATAAACATTGGATGGTAGATCCTAAACAAGTGTACAGAGACTGGTTCGAATTTGATGATGCATCATTGTCCACATTACATGAAGAGCTTTAAAATGAATGTGAAGACTTTTATGGTTTTTGAGAGTGACTGAGAATATTTGCTATTATTATTTTGTGACTGAATGTTTTTTGGAACTGGTGTTTGATGATCATTCAACCTGTTTTTTGTAGATCTATGCCTTTATTATAATTTTAAAAGGCCAATTTTGTGTAGCAAATGCATGAAATGGGCAAAAATACTCATATCATTCCTTAGAGTGGGTTTAGTCATTCTAAGCTTAATCAATATCACGGCAAGACTTATTTATGTGCAGCTTATTTGAACTAGAACTAAGAACTGATATTGTTTTTTGTTTTTAACATCCTAGGTAAATAGTGCTAGCCACCTATTTAGTTCTGAGTCTTTCTGAGGGGTATAGTTGACTTATGTACCTGTACAAACATTCCAATGCTGCAAAATGAACCCATCAGCTCAGCTTTTGTTATTACCCGAGTTACTTGTGGCGATTTGTGGGCCCTACCCCATCTCGCAGTTGGCTGTGAATCACGATTAAGTGGTATCTCCTCCTCTTCTTATAAATTTATTGAATAATTCTAGCCTTGTTTCCTTTTCACCCTATTCATCCTATTTCACCGTGGCTAGAAGTACTTGGGTTCAAATCCCGGCTGGGTATGGCTTGTAATTTTCCACCGAAGCGCTTCTTTTCGGCAGCTTGTCAAATGGGTGGCCTACCTTGACGGCGCGGCTTTGTCAAAGGCAAACCTGGCTAAGATATAGACGCGAAGCAAACACTCGTCCGCCCCTCTCGCTCTCTAACTCTCTAACGGTGCGAAGAGAGGTGGTCCTAGAGCCCCACTAAGCGTCCCCATCCCCCCACCCCAGCATGTCAAATGGGTGCCTGCCTAGGTGGCGCGGCCCTGGGGCTAACTACCTCGCTAAGATGCAAAAGAGTTCCCGCCGTCGGCCCCTCCCCCCTTACCCCCCCTGCACCTTGGAATAGTGACTGGAGTTGCAGAAACCTCAGTGTGTTCCAGCAAAACTCGGTGGAGATAAAGTACAACAGAATCGTTTTTCTACTCGTCATATATTCTGTTACAAGCATATTTCATTAAGTCACATAAATGCACAGGAAATCACACAAAATTGATCTTTACATTATGAAGTTGCAACGCACATTTGACTAGCTATAACAATCTTCTCCTCATAAGGCCATGCATTACATTAAACGAAGCCATGTCTGACAGCATAAATGCCGATAGATAGGTAAGCACACATGGCAAGCTCTTTTTATCGTTAAGTCTCAAAAGCTCACATTTTCATCATGAAAATAAGTGTTCAAAATAATAATAAAAATCTCACAAATAAAAGAAAACTGACAAGTTAATAAACACAAAAACAAAACTTTGAGATACATTTGACACTTTTATCCACTGAGAAATTTATAGCAGCTTGCAATAATCACTGGTCAAGACACAAAATAATTGGTATATAACCATACAAAGAAAAAGAAAGACCAGTTGCAAACAACACTTCTTCTAGAGTTACACTGGGAGTAGTCAAAAGACAATCAGTGTTTTGTTCCATGGCACCAAAAGACTATACATATCTCTATGCCTTCCAACTGTAATTGTTGAAGTGCAAGAATTTTTTTCTTTAAATAGGTATGAAGATAATTTCCTGGAATCAAAACAAATTTGGAAAGACAAAAGGACACCACCGCAGATAAATAAACCCGTAGGCAACTTATCCAATTGATATAGTGAGGGGATGAGCCCTTTCTTTACACAACTTCCGCAATTTGATGACATCATGCATAAGCTCATGCAAGAACATTGTTAACAATTTGAGAATTTTTTGCTTCAGTAGTTAGTACAGAACATCATTATGCAATAGAAATTCATTTGGTATTGGGCACACTTACATATACATTTCAATCACAGATTAAATAAATAACTACTGAATGGACAAATTGTTGTTAAAACTCAGGCTTTAGCTAAAACTCACTTAGGGTCCACAAAACCACATCTTAAATGAAACATTCAAAAAACATTCAAAACATTTTTCACAACTACTCAACAGATGCACATCAAGACAACAAAGGAATAGAGATAAAGGTGAACAGCACAAAACAGACAGGAAAAAGGGAAGATCTTAGAAGTTCTAAGAAATAACATGAACTTTCCTTCTGTTTTTTGTTCCCAAAAACTAAACCTGAAGACTCGAAACAGTCTTGATTGAGCAATGCATCCTCTTCACATAAAATTCAAACTACTAGCAAAACTTGAGTTAACTGTCCCCCAAAAGCAAGCCACAGATTAACACCTTTACAAACTGTAGTAAAATAAAGTTTTAATTTAGTTTGTCTAGTATCACAAAGCAAAATTCATATTTTATAAGAAAGAAAAGGGATTTTCCCCTGAAAGCTAGATGAGACTTTTAAAAAATGGAAGGAGATACCTCCCATTAATTTTAATGGTTAAGGGCAAAACCAAAATAAAATTGATGTGCCTGAGGATACCAGATATTTGCACCCCTTATTTACAGCAAACAGATCCTTAAGTAAAGCTTTTGACAGAGTCAACCATACCACGCTCAAACCAGGAATTCAGTCACAATTGACTCTGCATAACAACACAAATACTATAAAAGCTTGGTAGAGAACATTTAAATATGAGCAAGCTTTATTTCTTAACAGGCTATAAATTTAGAAGCTTCTTTAATTTCTTACTAGATATTTAACAGTCATACTAGACAATAATTACTCCAATTTATATCAAAACAAAAATTGTGTAAATTTTGTTGTTGTTTTTGTTTTAGAATAAACAAGCCAGCTACTCACATTCTCCAAAATAATATACAATTAATCCCTTGAAATTCCAGTCAAAAATATATCACATGTTACTTAGCTATGGAAGGAATTCACATGTAAAGGCTTCAAAGATCGTGTATACTGATAATAAATCAAAAATGAACGATAATAAATGCACAAAGCATAACCCAAGGAATAAAAAAAGAGCAAAAAAGCATCAGAACAATCACTTTACAAGATCTTAAACAAGTCTCCCTCAACATTTTGAAATATGGAAAGTTTAAATGGTAGAATTCTGTTAATAACACTTACTGAAATTGTAGGTTTGAGGGCTGATGTCTGTGGAAACTGAGCTCAGTCCCAGTCCCAGCATATGATTGTTCATTAGTAGGAGGAGCTTAATTTTAGAAATGCCACAGTAAGGAAAACATTGGAGTAAATATCACTACACAACCACTAAAGACACCAAAGGACATTAAGGTCTTAGCTTCACACTCACACACACAAGCGCGCGCGCACACACAAACACTCACTTTGTGTACCCAGTTTGAACCAGTAACAGCGATCACTTCAAACCTTTGATAACCAAAACACTGAAATTGCAGTGAAAATTTAAATACTGAATTTATCACCTAAATAGAGATAAAAAGCAAAACAAGATGCTAGCTTTCAAGCTTTAAACGTTTGCTGGGGTTAAGTTGTACAACACCAGATGTGCTAACGGAAATTTGATCCACAGATGAAGAATTGGTTGAATCCGAGCTGCCATTACCATTTTGTAGGAATTCAGTCTCAGTCCCTTTCTAAAAATAAAATGCGTAAAAATACCATTAAATTTTTTTTTCAAAAAGTAATTTAAAAACTAATAACAAATTACTAAAGATTTTGAATACATACCTCTCCTATAACAGCGATTGGAGTTTCCCCTAGGGCTTTGGCCACTCTATGTTCTACCAAATAGAACATATATTCATCATACAATAAACGAATCAAATGGAATGATCCGAAACTAGCAGCACTGCGTAATGTCAAATCTCTTATCACCATCGAACTGAAAGGACATCAAAAAATATTTTCAATTATCACACTTAAAATGTCAGAAACAGAAAGAACACACACACACACACTGGAATCACAATTTCTTACTTGTAAAAAGACCACTTCAAAAGAAATTGTCTGGCAGCAGTTGAAAAGTTAGGTTTCCCTTCATATGGTTTAAGAACCTGATCTACAACTCCCTGTAACCACTCTGCCCATTGTTCAAGCGAATTCTGTTGTTGAAGTGTCATTTTGAAGTCTGTTTCTAATTGCTGGACAATTAGACTATCACACTGACAAACCCAAGATGCCTGTAAATATACAAATATGTAAGCAACTACACAAAGAATTCATACCAAGGGTAAACAAATATTTTTTTTTCGAATTCTGTTACCTGCTCTTGAACGTTGTGAAAGTCAACACGATTTAAATCAGTTAACATTTGATTGATTTGTGCACTGTTTTGAAGAACAGCTCGAGCTGCCTGGGCAAGATGGTTTAGTGAAGTATACCTCCGAAGTGTTTGAGCAAAGGCTCCAGCTGCACCAAGCTGAAAATTGCAATGAATGTTAACAAACATTCTAACAAAGATAAATTTAAATTAAAAAATTTAAGAAGGAAAAGCAGACTATTGCTGCTGTATGTGAACTTACTTTGATATTTTTCATTTCATCAGGACAACCCACCATGGCAACAGTCAACCAGGCTTCAAGGCCTTTCGAGAAGTTCCGAATAGCTTGGGTCAAAGCAGCTGAGAAAACAGGATTTAAGTCAGTATGGCACATGTGCCGGATGTGGATGTGAAGAATGATTCCCACTTACTTGGTATGGGACGAAGAACATCAGGAATGAGGACCTCAACCAGTTTTTGGTAAAAGGCAAAATCTACAGTGCGCACAAAATTTTGTATAGGAGTGCAGTTGCAGAGAAGGAACAGTTTGGTTCTGAGGAACAAAATTGCAACAGAAATGAACATACCCTAATGAATCCTAAAATAGGCTGATAATATAATTGTACTCTGAAGGTATTCCAAAACTTACTTTGACAAGTACTTTTCTTCTTCACATTCATCACCATTGTTGTTATCCTGACTGCGCCAAAACTCCCGCCATAGGCTTTCAACTGTCATAAATTCTAAGTTGACGATTGCATCTAAGAAAGCCTTCAAACACACAAAATTCAAAGTGATATTACATATAAATTTTCAAGAAATATACTGTAACAGTGAAAGGAACTGTTTAAGATGGTTACCTCACAATGCTCCCTATAAATGCTACGGAAAGTATCAACATCTTCAAAGGTACAATCTTCAGGTAATAAAGAATGAGAAGGAAACTCGATTTGAGGAAAGTCAGGCATGGCCTGACTACTATCTCCAATGTATTGCTGATGGTTGTTCTGATGTTGCTGAAAGGAAGCAAAACAGGGAATAAAGAATTTCAACATTTGTATAGTTACTAAACCAAAAACAAACTTTATGTCACTAACCTGTGCAGGAGGTGGATTTGAATTATCAGAACTCGCACTATTTTCTGAACGTTGGGGGGCCTTTGATCTTTTGGTACCTTGAGATCGAGGAGCAACTGGCGACCCATCATCAGATACATTTGTCAGGTCTGATCCAGGCTTTACACGGATACCATAGTAATGATACTTTGAATTCCCCCTGTGACAATGAGAACACATGAGAAACAGAATGCAAATGTAGGTGAGAAAGGATCAACAGAAAAAAGGGGATAGGAGAGAGACACTTCAAATTATTGCTGCAGTATATTCATTTCAGAGCATGATTTCCTTACCTAGTGCCTAGTCTTCTCGTACGCAAGCCCAGAAACACAGATCTGATTAACTTTCCAAAGGAAGCAGCATTCACTGGGTCAAGCTTGTGGTCATTACAGTGACGAAGATAGTGATAGTAAAGTGTTGAGCGAGGTAACGAAACACCTTCAGCAGTCTCATAGTTTTCCAACAGCCACTGAACCTGGAATACAGAGCAATCAACTTCTTACATCTGCTTCTTCAAAAACAATCGAAAAATAATAAACAATGAGAAAAATATAATTGAACAAAATACATTTTGAGAGGACCAATGTGGAATGTATAAGGTAACATACACTCCAAAGACCAAGAATGTTGATCCACCATTTATAACAAGAAGTGTATCAGCTGTTAGGCAGCAAAACAGAAACTTTAGGTTTATTTCAATTACAGCAGTAAGTTGACCAGTGTCAATATTATAGAATCCATAATGAACACCACCTCATGCCACCAACAAACATGCTAGATAGCACAAACTGACTCTTGCATATTAAAATTAACCATTAATGCTAGAAATTAGACAGACAATGTGAGAACTGCTGCTCAGATGAACAACGCTGATTGATTACATTTACCACAATCTTGAGTAGAAATAAGAGAAGGAAAACAAGGTGACAAGCAAAAGTTGTTGGATGCGTGACACCATTGAAGTTGAAGTGGAGAAATGAGATTGATGGCATGAGACTATAGGAGAAATTTCAAGCAGACAGCATGCTAAGGGACTTACAGTGGCAGGGGAGACTCGCGTAGCGTGTGAAAGGAGACTAGGTTGGCCATCCTCATCTAGCGGCGAGTTGTTGTTTATGTAGGAAACACCTCCGCCATCCTGCTGCACACACATGCCCCACCCATGTTCCATGTTCCAGAATCCATACCAGTCAGCAACACAGCACACCACAGGTGCAGCTAGATGAATGAAATGTCAATCGGCAGACGGATTTCATTCATGAGCGCACTTGTCGTACACTGTGCAGCCATTTTAATAAAGCACTAAAGCAAGGAGAGTGAAAAAGCTGCAGTGATCCACCTTCCTAACACCTCTGACCCAGACACCACAAAAAGGAAAACATCTCTCAAAGTTTTCAAAAGCGAATGTGTAATATACTTAATGTGTTCCTTTGTGGTCTTAGTGGATATGCATCAAATAAAATTCACATATCCTAGAATTTCATTGGAATCAAGATTGGGAAGATATGATTAGTATGACTCCTCTGGCAACAAGCAAAGTTAGCTTACCCAGTGGTGCAAACATAAGTTAAAAGTTACACATTAAGTAGCTTTGAATGGACTTCAGCTGAAATCTCGCTAGAATGTTAAGTTCCTCAAACAGAAATAAAGGGGAAGATTGTCTTACTTGGTTTAGTGAAATGAGTTAGCATCAGCCAAACAAATTGGAAAAGCACATAAGCAAAGCAAAATTTGGAGGAAGAAAACAGTGCTTACAGCGGCAACAGTTTGAGGACTAGATCGGCTTCCGCTGAGTATGTTGTGGGACGTATCTGCTTCCACAGATGATTGGATAATGTAGGTGCCACTAGAAGCATTCTGAGTAAGAATGTGACTTGATCCTACATTGGTTTGTCCAATAGAGTTTGTGGCCTGAAAAGGATATTGAATTGTTATACATATCAGAATTACTCATCAAAACAGAACTCTGTCCACAACAGGGCAGACCTTAAAAACACTTAGTGTTAGCCAAAATTAAAAAAAAAATGAAGAAAAAATAAAATAAAATATACAAAACTACGAAGATAACCTGATGCACCTGAGAGTAAGTAACAGGTGTAGTAGAACCAGTATAATATTGTCCTGATGTAGACTGATATTCTCCGACATACAATGGATAAGCCCTGAAAAATCAAAGTAATTCCTCAGATGATGCAGTTTGAAATGAGCTACATTAAACAGTGATTACTCACATTTGTCCATTACTAGTGTAGATCTGGTCTCCTGTTCCTTCAACATACTGAACAAAAGTGGGCTGAATACCTTGGGTCTGAGATGAATCTGACCCAACACTCACACCAACTCCATCACTATCAGCCACTGAAAAAAGAGGGAAAGCAATACAAATTAGATCAGATAAAAACATTTTGTCATTTTCAAAATGAGGATTTTTTAAAAAAAGGATAAGTTAAATTAACAGTTAAAAATTAGCAATCATAAAAGATCCAACAAAAGAAACTAAAAGAGCATTACACATACTTTAAGTATATGACGTACACTTGGCTTCAGTACCAAAAAACAGTTGCACTTGAAAAGCAGACAAACATAAGAGCAACTGGTGTATTGCAAAAGTTATGCTGATACAAAAATTATTCTAAATTGCAATCTTACCAACGGTGCTTAGAGGTGTGAGGGGCGCGTAAGAACGCGAACCATCCTCCTCTAGAAGCGCAGCATGAAACACAACATCAGTAGAGAATAGAACCTAAGCTTCACTACTCAACCTGTCCAACTGCTGCAAGTGAGTAATTGCTACCAACTTCTACAATGCATATAATTCTCAAATGACAGGCATTTTTTTTTCAATTCCAAATTTTAAATGAAGAAGCAAATAGGTAGGTAGATACAAAATGCTAACTGTTTTCTCATCTCAGGTTCTAGTTTAAGAATTTGTAGTTGATAAGGTGATAAGGAAAATGCATGTTAAATTCTCGTATCAAAATCCTACAGTTACTTACTAAATCTACGAGGTGCACAGAAATTTAGCAATAATTTCCGTGTTTCATTGGATACAAAAAAAAATATGCGTCATCAAATTCTAAGCAAAATTTGCTTTTAGTGTCACTACTCTCGAACCACTACAAAATACTTCCAATGTCAAGGACCCTGCTGCTGAGATGGGACTGCAGTCCCGTACTTTCTCTGAACCAAACCGATCCGATCCAAACCAAACCAAACCAAAGGCCTGACGAGGTGGGGGTGGTGGGGGGTGAGGGGTGCGGTGCACTCACCAGCGACGGTGATGTAGTGGTGCGGCCCGACGATGGCCGACGGCGTGAGCACGTGCGCGTCCCCAGTCTCGTCGTCGTCGCCGGGGCCGACCTGGCCGACCTGGCCCACCACCACGGCGGTCGTCACGGTGCCGTCGCAGGACTCGCCCGAGCTGCTGCCGTCGCCGCTGCCATTCTGAAAACAAAACCATTTTTTACTGTTTGAATGAACAGCACTGGACGTGCTCATCGAGGAGTGAGAGTGAGACTCACCTGCTGAAGCGCGTGCAGCGTGATGTGCGACACGCGCGTGCGGGGCGCGGTGGCCCGCAGCGACAGGGGCGGCGAGTCGTCATCCCGCACCGCGTCGCCGCCAGCACCGCCAGCGCCGCCCGCCGCGGCCCCGACCGCCAGGTCGAAGGACTGCGTCGAAGCCATCTCCAGCCGGCTGGCGGCGTAGCCTGCAAACAACCAGACTCACACTTAGCAGTAGCACAAAGCACAGGGAGAGGAGCCCCTGCAATGCCAGGATGCAACCCGGCGCGCGCGCGCGCTCGGCGGACCGGCCTACGCGACCGTTCACAGGCGCGTCGGGCCAGAGAGCCACTACCGCCTGGTACTGCCTGGCTCCACACTTGTGTCGATCCCGAAACCTTAAGGGACCAAGGACGAGGAGAAAGGACAAGCACTCGCCCTGGCTGGTGACTAGCGTGGTGAGCATCTCGGCGAGCCACAGGCCACGATGCGGCCACGACCGGGCGATGCGCTAGCACTGCTGGCACGGACTGCAGTGAACGGCCAGCCACGGTGACAGGTGGCAGGGCAGCACAGGGCAGCACAGGGCCGCGCGAGCTAGCGCAAGCCGTGTCTGGCGGTACCGGGCACCCGGCACCCTCCACGAGCCACCCCCCGCCCCTATGGCTTGCCTAGGCTTGCCGCACCGGGCAGCACCCGCTACCGTCACGCTTCGCTGGAGCCCCCTCTCTCCTCCTGGAACTGCGGCCTCACATGGAAATGGAAGCACCAGCCCGCACTTTGACTGCTCTGGTCCAACAGCCCCCTTCATTGTGAAACTCACTGACCAGCGCTGGAATGGATCATTCATTCAAAGTTGACCCGTTAAAAAAGATTCAAGGCCCAGCTGCCAGGCACAGAAATTCTCTGAGGAGGCTTTTGCAATAAGCACAGGGTTTAGAGGTCAAATGTAGCCAACTTTACATTGGTAAATGAAATGCGATGTACACAGCGCGTATTTTGACTGATGTGTTCAAACATATTATTCGTTTTCAACCACAAAGGACAGCAATTCCACTTAATGCAAATTGCTTGAACAAGACTACAAGCAACTCGATGAGTTGAGTGAAGCGTAAAAGAATTTACAGGGCAATTATCGCTAATATTTACATACATATGGTAGCTTATCCTTGGTGAAGGTTACCGAAGATGCTTCAAACTTAAGCTATGTTCCACACACAAGGAGTGGGGCAAAAACAGAAAATGAAATCTAACCAAATGATAACCCAACCATTAAATGAAGAGAACATCTGCTATCAAATAACATTAACACTATTGTTGACTGACAGTTAGGTTAAGGCTTCTGCCTAATGCATGTGATGCGCCAAGTACCGCGGGAAAAGGTACAGACAAACCCGACGTGAAAAGGGCACTGAATGAAGCCAGAAAGATTACAAACTTGAACGTTTCTTTACTCTCAAAAACTAGTAAGGGATCAATTTATCAACATGAAAGTACAGTAGAAGAGACAAACCCACTCAAACGAAACGGCACTTACTAAAGAATATTGACCCTGGGGTAATCCATGGCTCCTCAAGGATTGTCTAACGAGGAAGTAGAAGAAAAACGTGGGTCACGGATGCACTTTCACTGTCAAAACAGTGCTAAACCAGCGACATGAGCTCAAATGTAACTAGTTCAACTAATGAAATATCGCCATCTTGCGTGACAAACGCCGCAATAAACAGAGAATTCTCGTCAACACTGCCACGATTTAGGGCATAACAATACTCGACAAAACCACTTAGAACGAGGCTAAGTGCTGCGATCGAAACGACGCACAAAAACAACAACAATAGCGGTTGTACAAAGTCAAAATCCAGTTGTTTTTGTTGACTCTGGCGTTTGTGGTGTCTATGGCTACCGCATCCAGTTGCTAGGCAAATGCGGATATCCCGTCGGACGCAAGAGGAAATCCAGAGCGCGCCAAAAATTTGAACGCGTCGTGAATGACTGAATGACTGGCATGTTAGTGCAGCGGAATCCTCTCGAAGAGTCCTAGGTTAGCGCCCAACTTAACATGAGTCATATTCCAATGGATAAAACTATGGCAAATTACGACGAAACAGCAAAATTGAATTCTTCGATAGGACATTTGATGGATTTAACAATACGGGGTGCTTGAGGTGACGTTTGGGACTTCAAGTCAAAGATTGAAATTGCTGAAAAATTATTAGTTTTACATCGTTTCTTTTTATAATTGGAGGATTATTTGACAGTTATCGCCTTGACTTACTGTTCTTTCTAAACGCCCTTAAGCTTTTCACCACGTTGGCTCGGCTCGGTGCTTCCACTTCCACCACTTCAATCTCTTGAATCTCGTCGTCGTCCTCGTCGTCGCATTCCTGGCCCGTTAAGTCCACCAGGTCGCCAAAATACGAGTCGTAAGGTTCCCGCAACCAGCTCATTTTCTCCATTGGTCGAATAATCTGATCGTGACGAATTTGAGGCGGTTTAAGGGGAGAGAGGCTCCCTATATCAGGGATTTGAGGGTACCGGGCTTCAACAATGGTCTAACTCACGGCCTGTGAGAAAAGTTCTTCGAGTCGTTGCAGAGCCGTTGCCAACCTTCTCGCCACCTAGAAACAAGTGAAGAATACTTCGATGGTTTTGTTTTCAAAGAGCCCATTCATTCAAGCTTTGAGATCAGACAAAGCAAGAAAAGATTTTCGGAAGTCTCACCGTGCAGTTCGGACTACCTGCCGTGTTCAAGGTTAGTCTGCTGAACAAGTTTTGTTTCTGCAGGTTGGCGTCAAGATGGCGCGCTTTCGGTGAATATTTGCCCTTTGTTTTCGTGCCGAGTGCCGTCTGCGGAGATTATTGTTAATTCCCATTCTCAATAGTTAAATGTAAAGAAGAGTGAAAACGAAGCATGTCCGATCTGAAGAGTAAGTCTCAGACTTTTTGCGTTATTGTAATTTGATTGACGTGTTGGTGGGGTCCAAGTTATGTCCATATCTGTACGCGTGTTCTTGGTTATACAGATAATAGGCTCATTTTCAATAAAACCATGATTCATTGTCCTGAATCTTAGTGTCATTATTTTGTTGTAATTTTAAATGCAGAGCTGCTGAAGTGCCTCGAGAAAGCTCGGAAACCTGCTGAAAAACATGCCGCAGCAGAGGATGTTGCAGAGTACTACTTCACCAGAGGCGATTACAGCAAATCGCTTGAATACTATGAGGTATGTTTTTGTCACTGAGTATTTAAATTCTTCGAAATCCTTTGATGAGCTCAAATGTTGGTTTTCTTGACAGGAAGAGCTGGAAGCAGCTCGTCAGCTTCAAAACAAATGTAAAATTGCTAAAGCGCATCGAATGATTGGCGAGGTCAAATTAGCGTTGCTGGAGTTTGACGAAGCTTTGAAGCACACCAAAATATATTACAGTATGTTTACTCACTCTTCTTTTGCATAGCAATTTTGTCCTCAAAATCATGTAATGAGCCACAAATTGGTTTTAGATTACACCCATGATGATGAGAGCCTTGTCGTTGAGAAACAAAGAGCTTTGACTACTCTTGGTAGAACATTCTTAATAAAAGCTGATAATACAAAAAACAAGGACTCTGAGGAATGCAAAAGAGATTATAAACTGGCCAAAAGCTGGTTGTGGAAAAGCCTACAAATTTGTCAAAAGTAAGTATTTTTCCATGAAAGAGATTCATTTGTATTTGATTGTCTGGTCTAATTCTGCTCTGAAATATTCTCCACTAGGCTTGAAGAACAAAAGAAGGTGCCTCCTAATGAAATACACGAAATGAGAGCCACATCATTGCTTAGTTTAGCTCTCACTTATGAAGGGATGTCAGAATGGGATGAAGCTGCTGAGCAGTTCAACTGTGTTAGTTTTTCTTTTATTTATTTCTGGGCCATTGATTTGGTGCTTGCTTTTTTAAGTTATTATTGTAAAGTTATTTTCTGTAGGCTATACGCATATGCCGCCTGAAGAAAATTGATAACTTGTTGCGAAACTGCTGCCTGGGATTAGCAAGCTTGTATCTAAGGCAAAAAAAGTTTACGGCCGCCCTCAAATTGTACCAAGAAGCTTTTCAAACATGTCGATCACTGCCAGAAAAGGAGCGGGTTCCAGCTGAAGTTGAGATTTTATTCTCAGAATCAGAGGTACGTGCCATCTGTATGTGGCTTGGTTGTTCACTTTCATTGTTTAATGATGGTGGAGGTGTATTTTCTAATAACCCAGTAACATATTGACAATTTTATTATTTCTTATTATTATAGGGTCATATGTGGATTGGTGATGCCTACGCTGCCCGCAAGGTACTTCAAAAAGCATACAAAATGTTGAAAAAGTCTAACCCTCATGCAGACGCTATTGTTTGCCGACTGAAAAATAGTAAGTTCCCTTACCTTTATTTAAACATTCTCATTGATTACTCTGCTAGACCTACTGTTCTTTTTTAGCTGCTGCAATTGACCTCCTTCAAAGGAAAATTCTTAACAATCCGGAAATGCCACCTGAAGATAAATACAAATGTTATGAGAGGCTTGGTGATGCTTTTGCTCAAGAAGGGGTCTTTACCTTCGCACTTGAAAACTATGAGAAGATGCTTGAGGTATACCGTGGTTCATTCTATCAAGGAAATGAGGATTAGTGCTACTTTTACTCTCAGTATGTTTTGATTTTCAGTTTGGAAAGATTGCAGACTTAGATTTGAAGCCTTGTTATGTATCCCTTTCTCAAACTTGTAAAGATTTGAAAATGTATGAGAAAGCAATTATGTACTACAAGGAAGAACTACTTTTGTGCCAATCACCGAAAGATGTAAGTATCTGTTGTTTGTGCATGTGTCATGCCATTGTTTTCTTCAATACCTCCTATTATGATCACAGTTACAGTTTTTTGTATTTTATGTGAATCTTCAGGCATGTGATTCACTCATGAACATCTATGAGTGTCAGAAAATGCTTAAATTACCTGTATTGGATCAGCTTGAAACTTTAGAGAAGGCACTTGTTGAAGCAAATAAAGATAACAATATAAATGTTCAAAGGGATATTTTGTCTGACATAGAAAAAGTTCAAAAAAAGGCTGGAAACAGTTTTGAAGCAGAGGATGCAAAACAGAAAAGGCTCAGCCTTGGAAATATTTCTTCTGAGGATGAGGAAGATGAAATTCAATCAACGCCTGATATTGCTGAAGTTTTAAACATAGATATAGATGCATTATCAGGTATGAGGTGTCCTTGTTTATTCAATAGTATTTTTAAAATTGTTATTCAATTCCATGTAGAGTTCTATGTCTCTTTGTCATTTCAGATGACAGTGACAATGAAGAAGAGGGCCTCTTTGAATCAACATTCAGTGCCAAGACTAAACGCAATCCCACTCGTTCTAAAGCCGTAACAAAATGGAAGAATGAGAGGGGCGAAACAAAGCTGCACAGGGCCTGTATTCAGGGTAATATTAAAGCTGTCCATACTCTGTTGGCACAAGGTGCTAATGTGAACGCCGTAGATTTTGCTGGATGGACTCCATTGCATGAAGCTGCTAACCATGGTCACATTGATCTTGTGGACTTGTTGTTGAAGCGTGGTGCAGATATAAACTGCAAAGGATTAGGGGGGGTCACTCCTCTTTATGACGCTGCAGAGGCTGGCAATTTTGAAGTTGTTGAGTTTCTACTTGATAGAAATGCATCTGTACATATTCTAACTGACACTGTAAGTATCTTCAAAATTCATGTGTATGGTGTGGTGTAGACCTGGTTTTCATATATCTTGTCATATACAGGGCGAAACAATACTTGATGGTCTTATTGAGTACTATAATAGAGGCTGTAGCACCTTATCAGCAGAAGACAAAGAACAATATCGGTGCCTGAAAGACAGGCTTCAGAAGCTCCTTGATAAAGGTATTGTTAGTTCAGCCATAGTTGGCAGGCCTGCAGACTTATTTATAGTGGTCCATGCCACTAAAAATCTGTGCTTTCATTTCTAAATTTCTTATATGGAGGACTTTATTATTTGTATTGTTGTGTTCTTTATCAATTTTATCTTGGACTTTTCAGAGGGAATCTCCTCTAAATCAGAAAAACAAAGTGAGCAAGGGAGTAAAGAGTCCAGAGCTGGAAGGAAGTCTAAGTTATCTCTTAAACGTACATCACCTAATAACTGCGCTGGGAAATTAAGGAGATATGTGGATGCAGACATCGATGAGTATCCTAGTCACAGAAAGAGGTCACTGGTAGGTAATTGTGATCACCATTTAGTTTGTAATATATTTTCAAAGTATAATTTATTCTAAAAAATATTTTTCCTTAGAGAGAGTTATCCCCTGTTTCAAGTCCCAAGTCCCCAGCCTCTGTACTTTCAGATGATGGGAGCTTAGATGATGAAGGAGAGGAAGGTGTATCAGAATACAAATCGGCTATTCAAAACCTGCGGAAAGTGGCAGAAACAGTTAGTATCGACAGCTTTCCTGTTTAGTGTACTTTATTATTTGTTGTCTACGCTAAAAATATTATCTTGTGCTTTATGTTTTAGTCTGTAAGCCAGGAGCCAAGGAAAAAGATAACCCAACCTTTGCTCTCTGAAAATGAAGTTGTGGACGATTGGCTTGAAGATGACATGGGAAAAGAACCCTCTAAAAAGCGAAGGAAGTCTGACCAGTCTGTATCCAGTTACTCTTACAGACCACTCTCTTTGAAAAGGAAAAGTTCTTCACGGATCTCTCTTAATAATTGCTCACCAGAGAGACCCCTGTCTTCCTGTTCTGTTGATGTACGAGAAAATACTAGATTATCAACGGGATCTCGACATTCAGATGTATTAGACTCTTCATGTAGGCTTTCTGATGGAGATGAAAGCATTCATATAGAAGCAATAAATGAGTTTGAAAACAGCTGGTACTTATATTAAGTCATCTTTAAAATATCCTATTAAGCGTTGGTTTTGTTTTAACCCTTGAAATTTGGCTTTTGATTTACCAATTCTTGTTTTCAGGTCACATCCTCCAGATATATGGTCAAACACTCCCCATTCAAAAGTGTCTCAACCATCTCTATTGGCATTTGGTGTGACACGGCACCATGGAAGCCAGGTTTCTGTACCCTCTCAGCAGTCAATTCCTGTCTCTCAGCATCCAATTCCAAGCTCTGTGAATGTTAAAGTTGAAGAGCACCGTCTAGCCATTTTTATTCAGGAACCTACACTTACTATAGGATGGCTTGCTGAAGAAGCTGCTAGAAGATATAAAAAGTTAGTTTAAATTTTCATGTAACAATTTTAAACTTTAGAGATTCTTTTTTTAATGCTGGTTTGTTGACCCTTATGTTTTAAGGTTGGGAGGGTGTCTCCCTGTTTTGGATATTTATTCTTTGGATGGAGCTCTGTACTCCAAAGATGACCCTGTACAAATGGTTCTTGGAGCAGACGTAATTGGTCAAGCAACATCATGGAGTGATACTTCCATCGCAGATAGATATAAAGAAGCATGCCACTTATTCTCTTGTGGTATGTAACTTCTCCTAGGTTTATCCTAATCACCTATAATGGAATGGAAAAAAACAAAACAAAAGTTTTAATTGTTTTCTGTTGATCTTGTAGATAAAGATGAGAGCATATCTTCCCTCTTAGAAGATAGTCAAGCCACACATTGTTTAGATATTGTGGATATGGTTTTGCCCACTCGCGTTTTTAAACCTATTATCAAAGCAATATCTATGGAGCGAAATTTATCAATAATCAACTTTGCGAATAATATGCTACTTGATGAAGGTGTTGCTGTGAGTAAAATTCCATCTCAGTTGTGTTTCTTTAATTAACTTGACCATCTATTTTTTTCTTCACTTATTTCCTTTGCAGGACCTTTGTAAGAATTTAGGGAAATTGTGCAACCTAACTCAGCTAGATTTGTCGGGAAACAATATTTCAGCACAAGGAATCAATGAATTAGCCAAGGCTGGAGAGAAAGGTTACTTAAAGGTAATATTTTCTTTGATGCTTGCAAGAGTGATGTTGGTTGAATTATTACTAGATCTCCAAATAATTCTGGCTTTTTTTGTAGGCTCTTCAAAGTTTGAATCTCAGTCATAACAACTTGGGTGATGCAAGTTTATCATACTTAGTAACATTGACTGCTTCTACAAAATATTTACGAAGTCTCGGTTTGGCTGACTGCTCTTTTAGCAGATCAATATGGGACAGTTACGACAGGCAATATTTGACTCTAAGTAAGTTGCAGAGTCTAGACTTAAGCCATAACAATTTACATGCCAAAGGTCTGGCAGGCTTCCTTGGATTCTCTGATCATCAGGAAGTAAGTAAAATCAATAATACTTATATTAAAACATTCCCCTTGATCAAAGTGAGTACAATAAAACTTAATGATGATTATAGGAGCGGCGTATTAATCCTGCTCTTCTTCAAAACCTTTACTTGATTGGTCTTGGTGGAGATCGTTTGTGTCAAGAGTTATTGCTGTTCTTGGAGCATGGAAATTCAGTTGCTCTGAGAGAACTGCATATTTCTTACTCTTCTATGCAAGATGAAGAGTTAAGACAATTATTGAGGTACAGCAATGTGATTTTAATGTGGAATGTCCACTTACCCACCTCTTACTCTATTTTAGAAACACTTTAACTCTTTGTTTTTATTTTAGTGTCTTGAGAAGTGCTCCTGAATTGCACACGCTGAGGCTACCTGCTGCCAAAACCCTTAGTGCTGACACCGTTTGTCAGTTATTACAACTGTCATCACTAAAATCATTGGAAATTCACAACAATAGAAGCATATGGAATAACAGTGACAACCACAGGATTGCTAGTGCTGTTAATCATGCTGCAAGTGAAGCATTGGAAAGACTCATCTTGAGAGATCCTCCCAAAGCTCTTGCTGAAGCATGGCGTACTGTTAAAGGGCTTTACTCAGCTACTCAAACTGCAGCCTTTGGTCTCCAAGTATTTACGACAATTTCTTGTTAATGTTAGATACTTGGTTTTAAAGATTGTATCTGTACCTCCGCAATGCTAACTTTTCATAAAGCCATTTTAATTATTTAAAAAAAACTTGTTTTCCGTACTTTGATTTATTTTCTGACAAGTGATTTGTTTGTAGAAGAGGGGTTACCAAATTTTCCTTGTGTTAAAAAGTTTGAAAAGTTGATGGTAATGGTTATATTTTGGATTTGGACCCTTAGAATTTGCTAGGTTGACACAGCATAAACATACATGTAATTGCAGCATAAATGAGAGACATCAGATGCTATGAAACTACATAAGTCAAATTTATGACAGTGTATACAATATATTGTATACACTCCAGTGTATGACAGTGGATACAATCAGTACTGTATTGAGGATGCAATATCACAAATGTAGGTTGATTTAAATAGATGACAATGTTATTATTTTCCTTATGATGGAGCAGCTGCATCATCTATTAGCTTGTTCAATTCCTTGTTTTTCCAATCTTGTGACACATCATCCAAATGGTTGTCAAAATCAACAAGTGTCTTGAAAGCTCTTTGCTCAAGAAGGGCAGCTGCAGTGTCTAGCACCTCATTGTCCACTCTGGGGAGAAGAAAGCCAATGGTAACAGCAGAAAGCAGAAAACTCAAATAATATTATCGATGGGAAAGGTTGAAATGTTTTACTCACTTGAAGTCTTTTCCACGCCATTTCCCATCATTGTATTGGGATACAGCAATACCAGCCGTTTCCATACTGAGAGTGAGATGTTTATTATCCACCTGCCAAACATTTGAAAAATGGTTACATCTGTGATCAATATTGTACAAACTGTATTATTATTTAATTTCCAGTCAGTGTACTTACAACAATGAAGCAAGCTGATGAAAAATTTTCTGCTATTTTGTCTGCGATTTTGTTTGCAGCTTTATCGATGCTGAATAAACAAGGAAATAAATATTCCGTCCAACAAGACAAGAAAACACTTCTTTTAGTCATCAAATACAAATGAATACTTACCTCAAGTCAGAAATGCTCTCATTGGCAACATAGTATCCAGCAATACTCAGATTTTCATTTGCCGCAGCATGATCAACCTGTGTTAGGAGACGATCAGTTGTGTATGGAGAAAGGGGGCGGAACAATGTGACTATTGACACAACATGACAGAAGAATGGAGGAGAAAATAAACGCAAGTTGCATGAAACGACGTCCTCTGACAGGTGACTTGCAGGACGTTACGGCCGGACCCTGTCACCGCAGAGGCGACTAACCTGAGTGAGGGCGATCTCGGCCATGGGGGAAACTTGGAGACAAACGTGGAAAAGCGGCACTGCGTCCGTGACCAGCAGCTCGTCTTTATCTTTGCTCAAGCGGCCCAAAAGCAGCCCATTTATGGCACAGTGTGGGTACTTGGCTGCGTGAAGAATCATCTTGCAGTACGCCCGAGCGCTGAGTGTTACCTCGGCCATGGCTTTCTCCGGTTCACGACAAAACTCACTAAGTAAACGCTACTTGGCTGAACGAGCTAACGGCTAGCTCTTAGCGGTTTGAAAGAAATTAACTGACGCACAGGATTCAACACATTCATTGATGAGATCCTAATAAAATGGACTCATTGATTGTTGTCATGTCAGCTGTGTTCTTGTTGTTTGTCTTGTCGTCCGCTGCCGAGATTGCTAATCATAACCCGAGTGGATTGGTGGACCTTGCGCGAGGCTAGTTGGGGTTCTCCCTGTCCCGGTTTGTGTGGAGGATGAAAGTAGACGCGGAACACACACCACGTCCGCTTCTAGGACTTCTAGGGCAAGCGAACGGGGAATGACACGGGGACAATGAGCAGGCATCATGTTTTCGGGACGAAAATACCAGTAAAGAAAATTAGAATGTCTTCCTGTGCCTCCCCCAGGGGATACCCGTCTAATGGGGCAACTTTTGACTGGTGGCCAGCCTCTTACCCTAGCCACTCCCTCACCCCCTCAACCTGGCCGGGTCATCCGTCCTCCTTCTCCAAGCAGGACAGATCAATGTAAGTTTCGCTTTGAGTTGTTGAATGTGAGAAGTTTCAAATAAGAGGAAAGTTGTAGTTGGAAGTAATAAACTTGGGATAGTTAACATTTTTATTAAATGCACAGCAGCTAGACTATCAGCAACTAGCAATTAATTAACAAACACAAAAGAACAATCTATATCACGCTGATTCAATGGACTGTCTAAGTTATAATGTTAATGAACTTTTAAAGCATGGGAGAGGTAAACAATGTTACTTCCTAAGTGTTGAAAAATAACATAAAGTGGATTAGGCTATAGCAGTAAACTTTGGTGGAAATCTTATGTCCTGGATAGGGCATTTATAAAATTAAACATAACAGGTACATAAGTTCATTACAATCATTGATTCAACCACATTTGAATATGGGAGAGATATTGCTTGATATTGGCTGTTACCAGAGAAAGGTGATTGCGCTGGAGTATCAATCTAGCTCCTACCATCTTTCATATCAATTGGCTGAGCAACCAACGTTAGACAATGTAAAAATATGGTCCCTTAAAATTTAAACAAGACAACTTCTTAATACCTAAGCAAAGATCTTTATGCTTGACCCATGCAGTGATACATAAAACCCATTTCAGTGCATAAACCATATCACCATGAGAACCTTTATACATAATTGGTGCCTTTGACAAAAAAAGCACCTGTGTATTTTATTTGATAGATAATATTCTTTCAACAATTGGACAAGCATACAAAAATAACAACAAATCTATTTGATTTCTTAGCAAAACATAATTGATTGCTATAGCTAGCAAATGACTGATAATACAGATTCTTGAGCACAATAGAATAAGAGTAAAGGCACAAGATGGCAATTTCATTTACATGTCATTAATTTGCACTAGATTGTCTGATTTTTTTTCTGATTACCTAGAGGGTATGATTGAATACTAAAAATTTTAAGTGGAACTAACTAGGGATAGAACACAGCAAAGAAACCCAAGAAAATGGAATGAATAAGTGAGAAGATGAAGAAGAAAAAGGCAAGTGTTCACAAAACATACATTCAACAAAACACTGCAAATAGATTCATTCATTCGGAATGGAATATTAACAGCAAAATACAGGAAGGTAAACACTAGGCTTGTAAAGTTGAGCACCACTTTGTAGCATTGATAGTTCCAGACATTACATTATAAGTACCAATTCAAAATCACACATGAGTAAAATGATTTAAATACTCAGACAGAAAGATTATTGATGAGGAAGGAAGTTAACTATGCACTTATGAATGCATACTTGATCCTTGATTTTATCAGTTCTCACTATTTTCATGCAGTAAATTACGAAAGGCAAAGCATGTTTGTAAATTATACATATTATGTGAGAGGCACATGCACATCCTCTACCATTAATTGGCAGTCCCATGAGAAGGCGAAAAACATCTCTTAACTAAGTATCACAGCTTGAAAATATTGGCGTTGAGTCTGACTCCTTATTTCAAATATCTAGAAGGGAAAATAGTGTTAGCTCTGGATAAGCTTTCAAAATAGAACCGTATACAAGTAACGTCTTACTTGGCAGCCCAATCAGTACGACCATGGGCACCTCCACTCTGGCGGGTTCCTCCAACAGTTGCTGAGCTTTTCAATTCAGAACCTATGAAGAGAAACATTTGAAATTATTAGTGAGAGCGGGCACGTTTTAGCCAATAGGAACAGCTTCTATACAAAAGAAATAAACTTATATGTTTTTATTATTGGTATGAGACTTTTTCACTAGTATACCTAGATTACCTGAATTACCAAAATCATGAAGAGGTAATCTTGTTGAGTGACCAGAAATATACCGTGATCTGGACAGATAGTGGTTCCTAGCTGAATCCATATGGGCGTGGTGTGACTGATTCCATGACGATTCGTTTTCTGGAAGTGCTGCAGGAGTTTCACTGAGGCCCAGTCCAATTTCATCCCTGCCCCTACAAAATAATAAAATTATAAATAAATTTTTGACAGCAAAGGTGTTTTTGCCTTTTACATGCCAACCAAAGTAAACATACCGACTAATATTTGTGCTCTGACCAGCAACATACCGGGCTACAGCAAGATAATGCTGTTTAGCACTTAATTTTCTTGGTTGGAATGCATCAGAGTTATAGGATGATGATAGCTGCCAATTGGCCGCTTGTCGATTTTCTTTTTGGCCAACCCCTTGCTGTTTGCTAATCCGCTCAGGTAAAACAATTTTGCTGCTGCAGAATAATAATTCAATTTAGTTCATATTACCTGAAAGAGTAATTTTAATTTGTTTAACTTAAGGAGCTCACCCCAAAATATCAGCAAAAGTATCAGTGTTACTCTGATCACTCCATGGGAAATGGTGAGATCTTGAATTAGAAGTAGGAGGAATATTTGTGATTGTTGCTTTGCTGGAATTGTGACTTTCCCTGTTCACAAGAGTCCTCATGGAAGAAGAGTTGAAATCTTGATTTTGTGAATAAATAACTTTATCTGTGGGCAGTCCTATTGAGGCCATGAAGTCTCGTACAGGGTCCTGCAGACTCGCTCCAGACCGATTGAACTCTGGTTGGACAATACTAGAGCGTCTGCTATCCACATCACTCACAACTTGTCTTCGACCAACAGGGTTTATTGAGTTCTGTCGTTTGCTTTCTGCATTGAGAGTACCACCATCTCCTGCTCCCTTTTGATACAGGTTCAAAGAACTGTTTCTTGTTCTCAATGAATTTCGTTCAGAGCCTTTTAAATTTGGTCCAGCATTTGGCATGGCTTTAGAACTTTTGAAGACTTGTTGCATGTCTTCTGTGACCACATCTGAATCAGGATCCATATTTTGAGTTGATGAGCTATTTTTACTACGAATTGATTCATTGAAGGACTGAGAGAGGAGCTCAGATGGTAAAACACTTCTCTTCAAAGAGGAATTAACATCTCTGCTGGTCTTGTCAGAGCCTAACTTTTGACTAGCATCTGGCAGCTCCACAATGTTGAGAGGCAGTAACTGTGCACTAGGTCTTGACTTTTGAGTTCCTGCAATTACAGCAGGTCGCTGGCCAACTTGGAAGTAAGGATACCTATCAATTGGAAAATGACCAGGTAAAAAAGATACTAAGGGAAGACATATTCCAAACCTTCCTTAATTTATCTCTTTAAAAAAAAATTAAAAAATACTTACCTTAATGCCTGTTGTGCTGTCGGCCTTTTAGATGGTGGCCACATAAGAAAGAGGTCCAATAGTTGGATTCCATCTTTACTTGCAGATGGTATGAGTGTTGAGAGAGGAGTCCGAGAAAATTGGGGAAACTTAAAATTCATTGAGGATGCCAATTGATACCCCTGAGGCCATTCATTCTGAAACAAATGAAAACATACATTATCTTTAAAAAATTTAATTGCTATTTATAATTTTGAGTAACAAAGCAGAAATTTTAAGACATCTGTACCTTGTCTGGTGTTCCTAAAAATGAACAAATCTTGAATATTTGATCCATTTCACTATTTCCAGGGAAAAGTGGCCTCAGGAGGTATAGTTCTGCCATGATACAACCAACTGCCCACAGATCAATTGGACTATTGTAGTTAGTTGAGTGTAACAAAACTTCAGGTGCTCGGTACCTGTAATATTAAAGATAAGTTATTTAATTGCATTTAATGACTAGCATGACTAATGAAGTAATAACACAATACATTACCATCGCGTAGACACATAATCTGTAAATGGAGGTCGTGACCGGATTTCCCTTGCCAATCCAAAGTCTGCTATCTTTACAAGATCAGGGCCCATGCATAAAAGATTTTCTGGCTTCATATCTCGGTGGAAAAAACCATGTCGATGCATAAATGCCAACCCTTGAAGAACTTGATAAAGGATATTGCGCACATCGGATTCTGGAAATGGTTTTTGTCTGAAAGACAAAATTTCATAAGCAGTCAAAGTTATGTTTTTCATACAATATTCAATAAACAAATCACTGAAAAATATAATTACCTATCTTTCATAAGTTGATAAAGGTTTTCTTTCATATATTCAAATACAAAGTAGAGTGTATCATTTTCTCTGATAACTTCTTTAAGTTTCACAACATTGGCATGAGAAAGTTTCTGTAACGACTGTGGGGAAAACATCAACATCATGTGCTTGCTGTACTTAGTCTACAAAAAGCTGAAAAGAAAACAAAAATTATGTGCATACCTTCACCTCCCTTAAATTCATTGCTTCCTCCCAAGAAAAATATTTTCTCTTCATTCTGCAACAGAAACACACCAAGTCATTTTTCTCACAACCATTAAAAGTTCACATATGCATTTTTAGATTGTTTCTTTAAAACTGACCTTTTGATAGCAACCTTTTCTCCAGTATCTATCCTTTGTCCAAGGACAACAGAACCATAAGTTCCATCCCCAAGCTGATCAAGTTGGATGTAGCGATTCATAATGATATACTCCTCTGGCAAACCTTATATAGTTCCTTTCATGAAATCTAAAATTACCAAACAAATACTTTTTTAAAAATTCTGTGCAATGAAAAAGTATGCGAATTTATACACTAATAAAATATTTCTCAGCGAACATACCTTTCTAGGCAATGTTACATTGCTGTTCAAGCAATACATTAAATCAAGGCATTCCATGTGACATTGCTGGGAGTTTAATCCAAATAATCTTAGATTAAAGCATTTGACACATGAACAATGTTTGTAATTTTCATGTGTTGAAAAATGGCCACAGTTGCCATTTTAATATCACATCAGAATTTGACTTGGGTCGATAACATCAGTATTGCATTAAGAGACTTCTGAAACCATGGTTCACAAACACACACTAACAACCAACACATCAGCTCATGGCCTCCTTTCTCATGTAGGGGTATTGATTATTTTCAGTGCAGGCCACTGGACTCTTATATACCACTGACATTTTCCTTTTCACTCCTTCGCTTCTCTCAGTTTGTCACAATGTTCGCCTTGATCACCTCACTAACAAATTGCTTTAGTAAAGTCCCAATTTCATAACGACCTTCCCTCTACAAAATTTGAACAGAAAAGGAATAGTTTGACAACAAACAAACTACAGGGCTGTATCCTTCCCCCTTCCAATTCTGTTCCAACTGGCAGTCCCTCCCCTCACTGCCTCTCACTGCCCCTCACCCCTACAACCCAACCCTGCCCTTTCCCTTCCCCCTCCAACAAGTCCCTCCCACATGTCAGTCAAGGAGAGGTGGGGGCAGAAGGGGCACGCCTCCTCACCCCTGTTGCTAGGCAACCTAGCCACCAAACATAAACATAGTTAAAGTAAAAGTAAAGTTGCAAGGAGCTTGTCTCCATGGTTAAGGACAGATTGGTGTCAGCCTTGGCATGGCGCACATGACTCTTATAGAAGGTCTTATCACTTAGAATATAAGGTCTTAAATATTTTATGTAAGTGTTGATATTTTATTGAAACCGGACTGAAAAAAAAAAGAACAGATTGAAATTCGACTGTCGTCTTAGACCAGAATATTTAGGAGAAGAAAACTTGGCTGAAAAGAGCATAATGTGCCCTGTCAAAACGGTTATAGTTTCTTAAGAGGCCATACTAAGTGTTGTCCTGATAAAAGTGATTAGATTCACTTACCGTTTATTTCCTCTGCAGATTCGTTAAATATTTTTAAACTTAACTGCCAGAAAGAACTTTTGGGCTTTGAGGCTTAGACATGTTGAGACATGTCACCCTATTCTCTGGATCGCTTTGCATCCTCATCCTTCGAAATCCCGGTAGTCAGGCTCACATTAGAGTCCGTCAAATTTCGAATAATTCGAACTGGAACAAGGCCCGATCTCAAATTTTCTCACCGGCAGGCAACCGGCGCCTTTCGACCTCCGCAAGACGAAGGGGGTGGGGGAGGGGAGGGGGGCGAGTACTATTTTTTTCGTTCTTCCTTCTCCCTTCGTCCACCTGTACTCACCGCTCATCTCTCTCCTTCTCTTCTCCATCCGTTCTCCTCGTCCTTCCTTCCTTCTTCTCAGAAATGGAATTGGCTCTAGTAATCGTGCGCACTCATTAAATAGTGCCGAGCAACTCTATCTACCGAATGTTAGTGGTGTGTTAATTTTTAGTGTTTCGCTACTTTTCAAACGGATAAGTCGTTACATTTTAACGGGCCATTTTAACCTCTCGCGAACTTCCTTCGCTATATTTTCTGCACATGTGCAAGACACAAACAACGGCGGAGTAATATTCACAACACTCCCGTCTGGCCGGGATCAAATTATTCCGAGATTTTCTTGTGTTTCAATCCATTGTTTCACAGAGGACGTAATGTTCGCCTAGAAATATTTGTTATGCTTCGATTTTTTAGTGTGAAAATCGACACGGTTTATTTGGCTGCCTTCATGTGAGTGCCGATTTCATCTGTAGAATAATGAAGTTGACAGTGCCTAAGGTTAATTGTCATATTTGACAAATTTACTCGACTCGTGAAATTAATAACCATTTGAAGATTGATATAACTCTTTTGTCGTCGCAGCAAACTATAGTTATGTGGTTTACATTATCCTCTTTACATCTCTTGAGCTATTGAGCTCAATTAGCTTTTATCAAATTTGTTTCTAATATAAAATCCTCAGTGGAAAAAAGACATTTTTTTCTTTCTTGATAAAATTTTGTCAAGCCCATACACATCTCTTGTATTGCATTGTAAGATACTTTGACTATTTGGCTTTATTGCTGGTTTCCTTCAAAGTTATGCTCCATTTAGTCATATGTTTTGCTTAAAAACTTCAAATTATTTCTGATTTTTTGCTCAAGAGTTTTTGTTTGCATTCTAGACTAGTGTTATCTCAAGTGTATCAGAGTGTAAATAGATTTGTCTCTGAAAGCAGTCATGTTTGTTATATTATGCAAGCTTTACATATTTTTGTTTACAGGATTTAAAATGCGTGGCACGGTGTTAAAGCTCAGGAGTCAATTTATTGTAAGTTCCAATTTATTTTTACAGTAACTAATTCATTTGTTGTTCACTTATTCTTTTTATTACATTTTCCTTTTAGTGTTGTCATAAAAATACTATGGTTTTCAGGACTCAAGCTCGGCTGAAGATGAAGAACCTGCTAACAATGGTTCTCTTTATGGTGAGCAAGGCGATCTTTCAAATTGTGTTAGTTTCATAAATGCCAAGAAACAACCAGAAGATATGAACAAAAATATCTTCATATCAAACCTAGACCTTCATGAATCATCTGTGTCAAAATTTGAATCTCTTAACATACCCAGTGTTGGCACAACCTACCAGCGTCAGACATTTGACTGTAAGGCAGCATTTTTATTTTTGTGTGCCAGTAGTTAGGTTACTGCTTATGGTTTTCTGAAATGATTTGTGTTGGGCTTTCAGGGAATGACACATCAATGTGGAAAGCAATGTCAAAGCATCCTATGTTTCCTAAATATATGGAGGTATGTTATATCTAGATATCTTAAAATTTGGTATAGCAATACGAATTTCTGATTTTTTTAGTCTGATTTATTCCCTTCAGCTTCAGTCTCAACTCAACAGTTTGTTTGAGGAAATTCGCATGGATTGCAAACGAGGTGATTACCCAGTTTCTTGTTTCTGATCACATTTTGGTGAGCTGTATGAAATTATTGTCATGAGTTTAATGAGGTACTTGTATTTTCAGCGGCATGTGAGAAGGCGTTCTCTTCTCTGGTGAAGAATACTGCAGACTCTCCGATTGTTGCTACCCCTTGTGTAGTAGTTCCAGTTCCTGTTTCAAATACTGTACCTTCGGAAGTGCCTTGCAAAAGGAGGGGAAGGCCTCCTTTGAAGAAGAAGCCAGGCAGGCCAAGGAAAGATGCCTCTGCTGCTGCAACACCGGATCCTGAGTAAGTTCACTTTTTATCATTAATCCAGTAATTGTGTCTGAGTCCCCTGCTAAATGTTATATGTTTGCAGTTGGAACAATAGCTCGTCTACATCAATAATCAAGCACACAAGGAGATGTCGAGAGGACTTGTTCCTAGCTCGGTAAGAGTACATGTGCTTGGTTCACAATTGCTAAATGATGTAACTTTGTCAATGAGTGTTTTAAAACATACTTTTGTTTTCAGAAAACCAAGTTGGATATGTCAAAATTGTGCAAGGCGGTTTTCTAGTGCAGGATGGCTTGAAAGACATCAATCATTTTGTTCATTTTCAAAGTGGGTATTACTTTCTTCATTTTAATTGGTGTATTTACTACATGTTAGCTATTGCTGAACTTATTGCTTGTATTAGGTTGACTCAGGATGACAGCCAAGAGATAGACCAGGATATTTCTCAGACCACTAATGGAGATGTCGCTTCTGAAGATGAAATGGACAGGTAAACATGGCAGTTTCATGTTACTGAAACGAAGTGTTGGACAGCATTTGTTCAAACAGTTATTTTCACAGATAGTTTTCACTTCACAGAAATTGCTCTCCTTCCAGGTCCTCTGATGCCAGTTTCGTGCTGTCTCCCAAATCAGAAACTAAAATCAGAATAGAGTAAGTGTATTTTCTGGTTATCACTTAGTTATGCAATTTTTGAGTGTCAACTGAATTAAATTTCAATCATCATTTGCAGACGAAAAAGCTCATCTTCAGTGCTACTCCAAACTTTCAGCAGTTCTAATAGTCCTCTTCAACCAAAAATGGAAAACCATAATTGTGCTGATGATGATGAAAGCACTAAGAAGCCTTCTTATGATGAGGACCCTTTTTGTGGCTTAGAAAGTTCAGTTTTGTCATGTGAAAATTGTAAAGAACAATTCCCTTCACAATCTCATCTTCAGAGACATTGGGAGGATCACACAGAATGGTAGGTTTCAATTCAATATTATGTCTTCCTTTTTTTCAATACTTGGGTGTAAAGATTTTCTTGCTCTATTTTGCAGCAAATCACATACGTCTTCGGAAAGCAATGGCAAAGATTCAGGGGATTGCTCATCAGATTCTAGTGTTTCATCGTGCAAACATTGCGGAAAGACATTTAGAAAGAACAGACTTTTGAAACGCCACCAAAGCATGTGCCATATAGGGTTCGTTCTCATCCCTTCCACGTTTCATCGACTTTATTGTGCTTCCCATTTGTGCGCTTAGAAACTCACTGGTTTTTTAATATTTTATAGCTCTAAGAAGAAACTTTGGCAGTGTACCAAGTGTTTTAAAGCCTTCAGGAGACAGTTACACTTTGAAGATCACCAGAAAGATTGTTCTAAAGGGTGTGTATTGACGGTCTCAAAATGTGTTGTGGTTTTAGGGTGATGTCCATCAACCTCAACATCTTAAGCTTAAAGTTAAAATGTCTTGTTAATTTGATTTTTCTCATTTTCAGTAAACATATTACAAGAGAAATTCAAAGATGTGAAAATTGCTCGCTACTTTTTCCTACTCAGAAAAAGCTTTTGAAACATCAAGCCATATGTTGTCCAGACAGGTTTGTTAAATGTTATACCAATTTTCATCAATGAACTTGTTGCTTCAAATCATTTATCTTGGCTTTGTTTTGCTCCAGCAATAACCATATGATAAAGCTGTTGAAATGTTTGAAATGTTCGCTGATGTTTCCCAGTTACAAGAAACAGCTGAAACACAGAGCTGTATGCTGCCCAGACAGGTAACAATGAATTTCTAAAGGTTAAGCAGTATTTTTTCAACTGTGGATTTACAATATTCATTTTTTTTTCCAGTGATACTGATGCTAAGGTTTGTCACTTATGTTCGAAGGTGTTCATCATGCATGATAGAATGGCGGCTCATAAAAAGAAATGTTTCAAAGTTGCCAAAAACTTGTCATAATGTTTTCAACTGTTTTCAAGGTCCTTCCATTGTTTTCTGGTAGAAAACCTTACTAGCAATGTTTCTGCAAATGCCAATGTTATGAGACTTATTGTTTTGTTTGAATCTTTTTTTATATACTTTTTTCAGTGTCAAAGTTTCTACAATTAATGTACCTGTGCAGCATTACTTGCTTTAAATATTTTTGTATCACATAGTTTTCATTAACATGGTTCATAAGATTTTGTTTTTCTGCTATCCATATCTTCAATCTATTACCTACTTTATTTAAGCTTATTAAATTAAGTGATTGCATGTGGTAAGCACAAATGATCTCAATACCACATTAGACTGCAGACCTCCTATATTATGTGAAAAAAATCATATGGAAGAGGATTATGACCTTAATTGTTACTGTGCTCTTTGTATCTTTATCACTGTGCAGGTTAGTTATGCCTTTTCTAACTTGTTTTTGATTCCTATGTTGTACCTTTAGTTTAGCAGATGCTCCTTGATCAGTATTGTGAATGTATATTGTAGATGTCACTTAATATTTGTTTTGAGCTCATTTGTCATGTTAGTGTCTGGAACTTAAGTACTATTTGTGAAACCAGTTTCTGCCAATTGGCCTGTCTAGTTGCATCTATTAGCTATATTGTATTGTTTTGGACCAGGAAAGTTACAATCTTGAAACTTTCCATCAAGTAGGTGAATTATTAGAGATATCTATTAGACCTTCGTTGACCAGATGTTTAATCATATCTCATGTATCCAAAACTGTCTAAATGTTGTTTTCTCTTGATGTTCTATGTTTTTGATTTGATTGGATATGGTTCATGTTGTTGAAGTTCGATTGCTAATCGAAGCGATTTGGAAATGTTGGATGATCGGTATATGTTACTTTTCTTGTTTTTTGACTAGTAGTTTATACATACAGTTAACTGTAAGTACAGAATTTAAAACATATGTGTTTTATTATTACTATAGTTTTAATTGTTAGATGTATAGCTTGTAAAGACATTCTACTTTTTACAATATAATTTTGTTACTTAATTGCAAGTATTTTTACCTAAAGGTGTACTTTAGCAGTGTACTGTTTGGATTGATGAAACCAAAACAGTATGAAAGAAAGAGGGGGAATCTCTTCAAACATGTTTTGTTGGTGCCAAATGATGTGAGGATTAGTTATGTTCCTGCTATCTAATACTGTACAGTGAAATAAATCACTGAAATATCCTTGGTACTTTTATTTGTTAAGTTGGATGTTCATACCAAAAGGGAATATTTGGTGGAATGCAATGTTTGTCTAAGAATCCATGATACTCTTGTACTCCCTTTGATGTTGAACCATTTTCAAGAATATCTTAAACTTTTTATCATGAAACCTGAAAAAGAGCAATGGTGGTGTAAAGGTTGCAACTATTGAATAAGTTGGAATTTCCAATAATTTTACCTTGATTCGACAACTTGCTTATTAGGTGTCACAACATCAGCAGAACCACCCATTGAAATCATTGCCTCTCCAACAGTGAAATAAACACCTGCAGCATATGCAGCTAACATAGCAGACCCTAGTAGCACTGACTCTGGCTCTTTGGCACAGAGAACAGGGAGGCCAAGTACATCGGCATGGACTTGGACAAACATTGGGTTTCTGCTTAATCCTCCACAGAGCAGAACACTTTCAATATTGGTTATGCCTTTCTCATAAAGAGCATTCATAATTTGTTTTGTGCCATACTGTGGAAGAAATAAGAATTTATTTAGGTAATAAGAAAAATAGTTAAAACAGTTCTATCATGTTAAGAATCTTACTGCTAAGGCTTGGAGAGTGCTGAGATAAAGTAAAGCCAAACTTTCTTCATCCTTTGCCAGACTGAGGCCAGATAGCTGGAAAAAAAAAGTTATCATCCTCACTAAGATTGTTTTCTTCATTGAATGATTATATCTTTCATTAATTTGTTTGTACAGTACCATTCCAAGCAAGGAAGGGTCGGCAAGAGGAGACCGATTGCCGTGGAAGTCAGGCCACATGTGCAGGTTCTTTGTCAAAAACGATGCACTGGCTACGCCATTTTTGTCTGCCATTTCCTGAAGTATTCTATTGAGGTATTGCTGAATGTGTCTGAAATAAATTTTTGTCAACAACATTGTTTGTGTCAGTAAAGCTATGGAGGAATTAAACTACTTACTCTTTAGGAGCCAACTTTTCCTTTGCTGCTGGGAATGCTGGGTGTGTGTTTATAATGTGGTCAACAAGATGTCCAGTACAAGTTTGGCCACCCTCTGTAAGCCACAGATTTGGTACCATGGCACTCCAGTAAGGACCCCACAGGCCATCGACAAAATGGATCTCTCTTGATAGAGCCATGTGACATGTGGATGTACCACAAATGAGTGCTGCAATAACCAGAGCTGTAGTTCTAGTACATTACAGAATGTCACAACATTAGTTCTTTTTTAAAATTTTACCCAATTTTGATGAAAAGTCCTTGCTAATGTTTTCAGCATTGCAGCCCATGAGTCCCACACCTCCTGCATGGGCATCTATGATGGATGTTGCTACTTTGGTGCCTGGTTTTAGCCCTAACTCCTTAGCAGCATTCTCAGTGAGTCCTGATCCAACAGGGGTTCCAGGATCAAGGACTTCCTGCCCTAAACAAATAAGTAAAATTATCAGAAATCTGTCAAAAAAATAAGAATTGACTTAACTTGAGCCTTGGAATACTTACCAATTTTGGCTGCGTTATTTTTCAAGAGATCTTCCAACCCTATGCTCTTGAAATAGGCTGCATTCCAGCCTTCTTTACTCTTCTCATTGGCGAGGTAAGTCCATTTGCACACCAAAGAACACAGAGATCTGAAATATTTTTTTTTTTTAGATATTTACCATTGTTATAAATTTTATGGCATTGCTTACCGTGAATGGGATCCACTAGCTTTCCATGTGAGGAAATCTGGCAAATCCATAAAATGGTGCGCCTTTTCCCAAGTCTTCGGAAGATTTTTTTTCAGCCAAAGTAATTTGGGTGTCTGCATTTCAGGTGATATGCTTCCCCCCACATATTTCAGGACCTCTGAATTTGTGCTATTGATGAATGCAGCCTCAGCGTTGGCTCTGTGATCCATCCAGAGAATTATGTTTTGTTCAGTTTCACCTGCAGAATTAAATACAATTGATTTTACAGCTGTATTCTAAAATTCTATTACTACTCAAACTTATTTTGTTTAAATCTTGTCTTACCTTGGGGGCTTACTGTAACTGGTAAGTGATTTTCATCCAGAACCACAAGCGAACATGTTGCGTCAAACCCGATGCCTTTGATAGTGTCCACTGGAATGCCTTGAGTCACCTCCTACCGAAAAGAGACTGGGTTCATTGAGTGTAGGCCTCTGTTTCTGTTTTCCCGCGTAGAACGGCTAGGTTAGGTTAACGAACGGGAACCCGTTCTTTCCGGATGAAACCCCAAAAGACCTCTCAGCAGGCACGGTCTGGGGTCTTGGCGGGGGACGACGCGACGGCTGGACAGTGGAAGTCCCACAGAGGCTTCCCCTTGCCGCCGCTACGCAGCGCCGCCATCTCTTGCCCTCAAGCGTCAAGGGCACATTTCAATGATTGCTATTTTTATTTCATCCATTTCCGGCGCCTTACCTGCACGGTGGCGCAGACCGCGGCCCAGATGTCGTCCCCGGACTGCTGGAAGTACTCGGGCCGGGGCGTCCAGGTCCGCGTCGGCCTGACGGCCACCTTGTGCACAAGGCCCGTCGACGCCGAGACGAGCGCGGCGCGCGCGCTGCCCGTGCCCACGTCCACGCCCACCACCAACGTGTCCTGCATGGCCTGCATGGCGAACTAGTGCGTCCTGGACAAGCCGCGGACACCCTGACGCGCGCCTGTCGCCTGTCACGCCGCGGCACAGTCGCTTGTCCTTGCCACTCTCCGGCGCTGAGTGGAGTGGAGTGACGCCGTGATGTGGATGTGACGTGACGCGCGCCGCGAGGACGACGACGAGGCGAGGAAAATGGAAGAGCTCTTCCTCCGGACCGCGCGGCGCTGTGCCGGCTGGGCCGCCGGGCCCGGCTGCGTCCGAGGACGTCGCCGCGGCTGCAGTCCTTCAGTGCCTTGCTGACTTGCTGGCGGCCGGGGAAGGCTTCGCACTACTTCGCACGCGGCCGCGGCATCGCGATGACCCTTGCGGTCCTCGCGGGCCACGGGGAGGGTCGAGCTGCAGGCTGAGCGTCTCTCTCGCACCGCGACAAGGCGCCTCGTGGGTGCGAGAGAGACAGAGCGACGAAAATGACGCCCGGAATCAGTTGATGTGGCCGCGCCGCCACTATCAGTTCTGAGATTTGTTTTCCTGACGCGCCAGTTTGGTCCGTTTGAATCGGGGAGGAGAGCGGGGAGGGTGTTTAAGTTGTTGAAGTGTCCGCTGTCCTGTGGATATCCTCTCGAGGAGGTTCATTTCATAGTTTATGGTTTCGAGTTACGTATGACCCATCACTCGCCGGTAAATTTTCGAGACTACGGCGCTCTTTTGAGTGAAGTGTGGTCGAACCTGCGACAAACAGTCAAGGCCACAGGTGTGATGATACGCCACGCCCCACTCCCGGCGTCTCTCAATTGTGTCATGCCTGGTTAGTGCCTGCATGCTGCCGCTTGTCTCGCTTCAAGAGGCCTTGCTAATCGCGTCATGGAACGGACTTCGACAAAAGTCTTTTTGGTTACAAAAGGTGACGACACCTCCTCGCCGTCCCGGAGCGTCGCGCTACCTAGATCGTGCCAAGTCATTTGGTCTGCAGGGAAGGACCAGGGACCTGCGCTGCGCGGCCGCGGTGCAGTGGGCTCGAGTCCTCTGAGCGCTCGGTGCAGCATTTACGCGCTACACTACAACCCCTCATCGATCGCCGAACGGATGTACGAATCCGCAGAATCACTTGCTTTCAAGAAGCTATCGATGTGTGAGGTTTGAAGGCAGGGTTCGGTTAGGTTCGGTCGGACGTGACGGAGGGAAACTGTGGAGGGGAAGTGGCGGGAAAAGAAAGGTGCGGTAGAGGGGGAAAGAGGAGGAGAGGGGAGGGGAAGAAGGAAGAAGAAGAAGAAGAAAAATAAAAAGGATAAATCATCATGGCGGTGAAATTCTAGGCAACAGCGGTAAAAACAGACAAAAATTGACGGAAAGTTTGTAGATTGGTAGTTTGTGTTCGCCTTTTGCTTCTGTTTCGTTACTTCTAAAGCCCCCAAGGTAATTCAAGTATAAGTCTGTTGCAACTGATTTCTAAATGCAACTGTCCAGTACTTAGTTGAGGAACAGGTCTGGAGGTTATGTTGTATTGTTTATAAGGCCCATCAAACTAAATTACTTCTCAAATCAGCTTTTTTTTTTCAAAGTATTTTAATTGTGGCCCGATTTTTTTGCTCTGATGTCCTGAGGGAATGGTTATTTATAAAGTATTTGTACTACTTCATCCTGATTCCTTGGAGCTGATCCACTTATCCCAAGATTTTGCTGGGCAACCAAATTTAAGAGGTTTTTTAAACCTCCTTTCCACTTTGTACCCATGGTATGGTCTTTACATTGTATGATTCCTCTACTGTATTTTTTGTTTCAGCACCATGGGTCGGCGCAAGTCCAAGAGGAAGCCTCCTCCTAAGCGAAGAGCTATTGAGCCTCTTGATTCCCAGTTCACCTGCCCCTTCTGTAACCATGAGAGATCTTGTGAAGTGAAAATGTAAGTATACCTGCACTTCAATTTTATTCCTTTTGTTGTTGTTGACACTTTCTAATGTTGCTGATATATTTGATTTCAGGGACAAAAGTCGAAATTCAGCACGAATAACATGTCGTGTTTGTATGGAAGACTTTCAAACTACTATAAATTTTTTATCTGAACCGGTTGATGTGTATAATGATTGGATTGATGCCTGCGAGACAGCTAATTAACATACTATTGTGTTTTTCTGTGATTCAGCAAATGATTTGAACCTTGTCTGTTCTTCTCTCTCTCATGAGGTTCAAATGATTTCATTTGTGGACAAATTTTTAGTCTAGTTTTGTTAATTGTGGCCTGTCAGAAGTTTTGACTGAAGACTCATCATTCATGTTTCCAGCACTTTATTTGTAATGCATTGTTTGTACATACCACAAATATATGTAAAACTGAAAGATAGAGCAGTGTTTAATTTAATGTGAAGAACCATTCAACTCATAACTCAAACCTCATCAGTTAGAAGGTGAAGTGTTTTCCTTCGAACATTTGTCCAATTCTGGTCTGATTCTCTAAGTTCTTTGGAAGCCTTAAGAGTTAGTAAGGAAGTGAGTTGTAATGCTTTGAATCTGTGTCAAAGATGTCTGTCATTCCATTGTAGAATTTTAGTTTTTAAGAGGAATACAGTATTAAAAATAGAACCACATTGTAACTTAATTACACTTTCATTTCTTTAATAATAAAAAGTAGTTATCACATGATTTCAATAAAATGAGCGACTAATTTGCATCGAAAGAACTTCACCAGAATGAATTCAGAAAGACAATGGAATATTTCCCTACAAATTTAAGCCAACACCAGTTCATCAACATGTTGCATACTAATAGCACTATGTACAGTAAGACAAAATCAAATCCATTGCATTTGAATATAAAATAGAAACAGTACGTATTATAAAATTTAAGTTGTCATTATGGCCTGAAGCCGATCGGAAATAAGATAGGCAAAGTAGAGGGGAGTCAGTAACATTAAAATCAAAATAGTACACAACTCATGCCCAACTTTCACTTACATCTCTAGTACAATACAAAGTGCTAAGCTGTTGTACAGAGGGAAGCAAAGGCAAAAACAATTTTCTTACAGGAAAAAATACAGATTTACCACACATACAAGTGTTGTACAAAGCATAATGGATTTTTGGCCAGCCAATTTTCTTAACTTTGGTAGTTGGTCGCATGTAAGATCGGCGTACACATCCTGCATGATGATTATCACATAAACCCAGCATATATGACTTAAAGCTCATGCAAAAGTAAGTAAGCTCAACAAGCCCATCAACTGGGGTAAGGTGGGGCATATAGCACCTTAGTTACAGTCAATTATTTACAAATAACAATTCAGTGCCCGATGCTGTGCAGAAAGCATTCAAGCCAATCAGACTAACAGTTCTAGAATACTTCAAAACCGTACAAAATATTAAAAACATACAAAGACATATATACTACAAATTGCGTTTAAATCGAGGGAGAAACAAACTTTTGTACGTAATTCATACTATTCTGTTATGTAATTTCATAATTTCTGTACTTTGTTACACGCACAGGGCAGTTGTTTCCCCTCGATTTAAATTCTATAAAAATTGTTTCCAAAGAATCGGGCAATTTCAGAAATAAATGAATTATGCAAGCAAGCTCTTTTATTTTAAAGTCATCCCTTGCCAAATAAATAACATCTTAAAATTCTTTAAAATACAAATAAAAATACAGGTTAAAAACAGTTAAAATCAGTCTAGATATTACACAACCAACTGGTTGTCAACTAGTGACTCTATCTTGAAGTCACTTTCTCTTTTGTCTATAACTTGCTCATTGTGAGACACTCCATTTTGATGAGGGATTTCATCTGGAGTAGCATGACCATTCTTCATAACACCGTTGGTCATTGGAGCTTTTGGCTTATCGCTGGGTTTCTTGGCAACTGCTGTTTTAGCTGCACCAGTTGCAGCTGCAGGTTTTCTGATGGGTGCCGGTTTGCTTTGCAACGGCTTGTTGGAAACTGTTGACGTGGTAGTTTTAGGAGCCGTCTTGCTGGCAGTTGTAGCTGCAGTTTTCGAGACAGTAGTGCGTGTTGCAGAAATTAATTTGTTGGTAGTTTCCTTAGTTTGCTTATCAATAGGTTTGGGCGCTAGTGGAGCCTTGGCAGACGTTGCCGGCCTTGAACTGAGAGCGCTGGCAGTCGCGGGACGAGGTCTGGGAGCAGCGCTGACGGTAGACGCAGGCTTGGCCTTGGCTTCCGTGGCACCGGAAGCTGGAGCTGCTGGCTTGGGCTTCGATGCAACAGCTGAAGTAGGTCTCCTGATTGGGGGTTGCACAGTTGTTTTCGGGACAGCTGCTGATGCTGGTTTGGGGACTGATGCAGCACTTGGTGCAGCAGCTTTCAGTGTCGTTCTTGCAGGTGCAGTTGCTGGCCTTGCAGTTGTGCGCACAAGTGGTTTCGCACTAGCTGGTTTCGCTGCATCTCCATTGGTGAGCGGCTTCTTCTCCGCAGGTTTTGGTGCTGGTGCAGTGGTCCGGGGTTTTGGTGGGGCAGGCTTCGATGCGGCAGGGGCTGGCTTGCTTGTTGCATCTGAAGGCTTAGGCTTTGGTGCTAAAGTGGTTCTTGGTGAGGCCCGAGCTGCTGGGACTGGGGGAACCACAAGTTTCTTTGGTGCGGTGGCAGAGGTAGGTGGAGCTGGCTTCATAGCTGTCTTCGCAGGTGCTTTAGTTGCAGCAGAAGGCTTAGGCTTAGCAGCCGGTGCTTTAGATGCTGGCTTTTTGTCAGCCTTCGAAGCCACAGCTGCAGCAGCCACAGCGGCAGTTGTAGTAGCAACAGCAGCAACTGTCGCAGCACCAACAGCTGCGGCATTACTAAGGGCATCCTGTTGAGGGAGACTTTCACCAGCAGACTCAGGAAGAGCTGGTTCTTCGCTCACCACAGTAGAAGCAAGCTCAGGAACTATTTCCACGACATCAGGAACAGTTTCCGACATAGCAGGGGATTGTTCTGCATGAAGGTCGATGGCTGCCACCACTTCTGCAGCAGGTTCAGTAACAGGAGAGGGAGAAACGCACAATACATCAGGTCCTGGTACATTTTCCTCTGCTAAACCATTCACAAGATCATGTGCAGTTTCTAGTTTGGGCTCTGGTTGTTCTTGTTCAGTTTGTCCTAGCCCAGCTAATATGACTTCTGGTACAAATTCAGGATCAGCCGTCACTTCTGATTGAGGTGAAGATACTTTTTCTTCAATAGGAATATTGCACAAATCTGGAACTGTGGGTGCAGCACTGGCAAAATCCAATGTGAAGGGGTCACTACTTGCCTGTGGTACTGGAATTTGAGGTGACTGTCCTGAGTATTGTGGCTCAAAGTCTTCTATGATGTCCATCTCAGACTCAGTAAAGGTAGCAGCAGATGGGATAATACTGACCTCATCCACTGGTTTCTCCTGTGGAATAGCTGGCGAAGAAAATGGCTCAACCACTGGAGGAGATTGCGCAGCAGATTCCTCTTCCAATGTTAAAAACTGGGAAGTTGGAGGATAATTGTGGTTTTCAGAGGAAAACTCTGAGCCAGCATTGATCTGAACACAATCAGCAACTTGGCCTACTGTGTCAGACTCCAAATTGGTAACATCGTCAGCAAATCCATCATTTAAGTCATTTCTTGTCTCTAAACAAGAGTTTTCAAACACTGAATCATCCAGACTGAAAACTTCTCTCTTGATTTCCTTAGACAAGAGATCCTGTTCCTCAGGTTGAGCAGAACTGTCTTCAATTGGATTACCAGTTTTGGACTCAAAGTTGAAAGCTTCGTTTTCAAAAGGAGTTGACTGAGCCGAAATTTGATCACGAGAAGGAGAAATAGGGTTCATACTGACTGCATTCATAATGTTGTCAAGCCCTGATGTTGAATACATAATGCCCTCATTAAACGGCTCAGCAGAAGTATCAGATGCAGAGAGTCCATCCATAAAGGAGGGGGGCTCCAGGAGATTGCCAGCCAAATGATCACGGTTAAAATCAGATGCACCTGAGACTATTGGAGAATGGTCATCAAGAGTTGGCATAGCCACTTCCAAGTTTCCATTGCAAATTTCAGCTTCACCAAGAAGATCCGCATCAGCTGCAGATTTGTTCAACTCCAGTGATTGATTTGGATCAATAGGTTCAAAGGAATGAGCTGGCGCAGATGGTTGTTCCGTTTCAGCAAAACCAAATGATTCTTCAGGCTTGGCTGGCTCCTCAGATGCAAGAGTTCCTGCTGGATCATCAGATGGAAGTGGTTCAGCTAAATCAGCAGAGTCGAGAGGAGCAACTACTTCAGTGTGCTCCGGTACCACTTCCACTGGAACGGGTTCAAGAACAGAAGTGGTGTTGTCACTAGCAGGAACATCCTCAAAATGATTGACAGTTCCTTCAAGTTCCTTTTCAGGTATTAAAAACTCATCAAACCCAGGCTCTGCTTTAGGAGATCCAGGTGCAACAAACGGATTGGAATTTTCTACAACTGTCACAATCTCTTGAGCTTCACAAAGTACATCTTCAAAATTGTTCTGACCATTTTCCGTATTTTTCCCATTTACGTGATTGCCAATGTCCAAGTCACCAGGGCGTTTGCTAACCTCCCTATCGAACTCCTCCTCTGGTGGGACTTGCACGTTGTCGAGTGGAACACCTCCTTTCTTCGGAGAACTTGAAAGCCAGACTTCATCAGCTTTTCCATTCAGTGCTTCAATGGGCGATGTTTCGTTTTTGGAAACAGGCTCATGCGCAATGAATGAGGATGACATGACGTTTTCCTTGTTGAAAAATTCTTCTTGAGTAAGATTCTCGTTGAAAGGCTGTTCAATGTGGTTGCTGTTTTCGGTGGGTGACGAAGGAATAAATACAGCAGCGTTGGGATTTAACTGGGACTCCATATCTTCAATGGCACCACTCTGTAAAAGAAGAAAATCAAATGCATCAAAACCAAAAAAAAAAAAAAAAAATCAACAACATTTCCTTGTTAATTCCAATTGTGTTGAAGTGGACATGCTCAGTAAAACTACAATGCACAAAATAGGGGGAAAAAAGAGGAAAGGGTTTAAATCAGATTAATTGCTTTCTTTTTTTAAAAAATTTACATACTACTAGGAATTAAATGACCAAACTGCAAACGCAATAAAAATCTAAAAATAACTCACATCAGATTCCTGTGCGGCGGCTGAAGCTGACTCCTTGTCTCCGGTCGGCTCAACACGGTAGTAGTTCCACTCGTCTTCCGATTCCTCGCCGCTCTCTGCTACATTGTCCACCTCAGCGCCACCTGCAAGACGAAAATGGATCCCTTTTAGCCCTTGGCCAAGACGTCACACACAGTCGTGGCTACACAGATACACAGACACGGCTACACGCGCACGACAGACACACTGGCTTCCAACAGTGTGAGCCTCGGCACACCCACGTGCACTTTTCTCACTTCCCCTACAGAGCACCGATTGTTCTCTGCAATCGCACCATTCATTCCGCCGGCCGGTGGGGCCAGGCCGCCCCGCCAGGCCCCAGGAAAGGTACGCCCCGCCCCACCCCAACCGGCACAAGAATTCGTCCCAAAGCAGCCGCCAACGCCCCTGCCCGCGCCCGGCCCGCCTGCCACTCCCAGCCAGGGCAGGGCCTGGCCTGCCGGCCTGCCACGAGGAGGTGAGATAGAGATACGACAGGGTGACTCACTGGCCAGGTCCGCGCCGCGGCCTCTTGAACGGCCGCCGCCCGCGGCACGCCCCTGGACCCCGGCCGTCCGCGCGCCGACGGCCACCCCGCCGAGGCCGGCGACGTCGCCAGCAGACCCATCCAGCGCCCCACCCTGTCCCTGTCCCGGCAGCGCCGTCGCAACCCCCGACACCACACAGTCCATGTTGGCCGGCAGACTGAGCTGGCACCGCCACCGCCAGCCAGAGGCAGCCAGCCAGACCTCCCTTTCCAGCCGGCCGGCTTCCTGGGGCCAGAGACCCCGCCCCACCCTACCGCACCAACCCCCTTCCTCCCCTCCCGCGCCGGCCTGGCTGGCTGGCGTCGGTGCTCCCGAGGGAGGGTGTCGGCGACGTCGTGCCGCCACGCCACGCCGCGGCGCGCCGCCGGGGCAGCCAGAGGGTAGAAAGAGCAGTAGGGGTGGAGTGCAGCAGGGCGAGCCGCGGCCGCCACGGCACACAGCAGCCTTGGGGGAGGGGCGGGGCGGGGAGGGGCATCGATCTATATCGCCCGCCACTCGCCCACTACAGCTCTCGCCCAGCCGCCACCGCTACACTCCAAAAAACAAAAAACACCCCTCAAAAGGCCGCCGACTCCGCGCCAAGCTGCAGTCCGTCTCTCTCGCACCCCCGCGACGCGACCAGGGAGCGCAAGAGAGAGACCTCCCACTCGGAACACTTCCGCCAGCGCGCTGGCCAAACAGATGACTTGATCACCACACCCACCCCTAGCAGCCAGCCCAGCCAGCCGGCCCAGCAACCCCAGCGCGGCCAACAAGGGTGGCGACAAGCCGGAAAAAGGAATCATTAAAATGCATTACGCGCCTAATCCACATGCATTACGCACCTCCGTCCACAAAAGATAAGGACCCGTCCCATGGAATTCCCTCAGCATCTCCCCCTCCCCTACCACGAGGCCAAACAACATCAGCGAATTCCTGTCACCTCGAACCCAAAGGCTACGCCTCCCCGTCTTCTGCCCGCAACTTCGGCAGTTGTATCCGCTCCACACACGCCTGTGGCCAACGACACAGCGCAAACAAAACCGGAGGGTTGGTTTTAGACAACTTGCCTACACACACGAGTCTCGGCCAGGCACCCCTACCGGACGAGGGAGACAGCAAAGAAAGCACCGTTCGGAAGTGGCCCCACAGTGTGGCCCCACAGTGTGGCCCCACACGCCCCTGCAGTGTGAGCGAGCGCGGACCGCGGTGCGCTCAACAGGTCGCGGGAGCCGCGGGGAGGGGAGGGGGGCACCCTTCCAGCCTCGCTCCAGATGCAGCACCGCCGGCCGGCACGGCCGCAGCGATGCAGCACTCTTTAGAGGCGATCTCTCTCGCATCCTTGCGAGACGCCCGACGAGTGCGAGAGAGACAGACGAGAGCACGAGCTCAGGATATTCACTCCGCGGGCCGCGAGCCGTGGGCGGCAAGCCGGCGGCCTGCCTAGACTTGACAGCGAGCGGAGCGCGGAGCGGGGGCACAGGAGGCTCCCGCTAAGCAGCAGGGTCAAACGACCAGAGCTGCACTGCACAGCGTTCCCAACCAAAACAGTGGACAGTGGCCGCAGTCGACTTCGAAACGGAGCTAGCTCGCGAGGACCACGACGCCAGGCGAACAACACGGAACGAGGAAACACCCCTCCCGCAGTCCAACTATCGAAACCTGGCTCGAAAGGGCGGAAGTCACAGAGGGTCTTCCCTTCAGCTAAACGTGGCCGTGGCCCCGCGGGGGGGGGGGACGCATACAGTACTGTGGGCGGCGGGCACGGCGCGTGGGACGAACCCCCCGCCGGAGACGGGCACTTTCACTCCACTGCAAGCAGTGCACCTCGACTCGCAGTCACCCGTTAACGCGCACGCCATAAGCGATCGCCCGCACACGCCAAAAACGGGGGCCGGCTGGGCTGGGCCGGGCCGGGTTTGAACCCGCGACCTATCCCACAGCAGCCAGTCACCGCACCGGGCCGTGGCGCGCCGCGCCGGCCAGCTGCTCGCTGCTCGGCGAAGAGGAGAGGCGAGAATCGCCGATGAACACCAGACGAAGAGGAGAGAAAGAGAGAGGGAGCGACATGTGCAGCGGACAGGGCCATGCGGCATGACGCCATTCGCCAAACTTCACACCGCAAAAAAAGGAAAGCATCAAGACCACAATCGCGCGCCCGGATCTCATCCGCCCGTCCCGTCACTGTGGTGTACCTGATCGCCGCGCCGCTCACCTGCGGGCCCACGGACGGTGCGGCCGCCCAGCACACTGCCCAGCACTGCCCAGCACACTGCCCGCCTCGCCCCAAAACACTTCACACCCAACCAGCTCGGGGCCTCAGGCCGGCGCGCACTCCGCCACGGCCGCTACTTCCGATTATAAACAAATGGGTCCAAAAATAAGAGGCCGTGCCGGGGGGTCCGCGTGGAGCCAGTCCGAGCCGCACCTCCGGATTCCTTCCCTACGATTGCACCACCACAACACTGTCACTCACTGGGCCGGGGCCGGGCGGCCTTAAGGCGGCCGGGCAACGCACTCACGACACACTCCGAAACACGCCAAGCACGCACCGATCAAATGAATCCCGGTCCTCGCCGATGGTTCGTGGTTCCTCGTTCTTGCGGTGCGGTGTTGCAGTGTGCGGCCAGCACCGTGCAGCACGCCAGCGGGCACCTCGCCGCTCGACTCGTTCGCTTCTCACTCCGTTCCGTTTCAAACGACAGAAATAGACTACGGGCCGCGCTGTGCTCTGCGGGCTCTGCGCTGTGCCGGTGCTGCTGTGCCTTGCCTCGCCGTCAAACCAGCGACCGAGCGAAGCAGCCCAGCCGGCCCGGCTCCTGCCCCGCCGCCCGCCGCCACGACCCGAGGGGGCGGAGGGGGAGAGGGGGGAGGGGAGGGGAGTGAAAGGGAGAGAGGGAGGGGAGGCTGGGCTCGACACGGCACGGCGCGCACCGGCAGCGGCGGGAGGGGGCGGCGGAGACGGGGGCGGGCGGAGGACCGACGCCGTCGACGACGACGCCGAATCGACGTCGACGCCACCGCCACGCTGCTCGTCGAGAAGGGGATGGGGGCTGCGTCCGGAGTGGCGCCGCGACATGCGACACGCGGCGTGCCCAGAGAGGCGTGCCCCCGCGAGTGCATCAACGCGGCCGCCTCAGTGGGCCAGAAGACCGGTGGAGGCGGCCAAAACTCTAGATGCGTTTTGAGCTCCAGAGTCCCCATAAACAGGCCTCGAACCGAACGTGTGACCCCACCAATGGATTCCTCGTTCGGAGAGCAATCCATTGGTCGGGTCACACGTTCGATTCGAGTCCTGCTTAGCGACTCTGGAGCTCAAAACGCGTCTAGAGTTTTGGCCGCCTCCACCGGTCTTCTGGCCCACTGTGCGCCTCGCACGCGACCCGCGGTGCGACTCCAGCCCGGCTATTTCGGTGCAAGGGCGAGGGGCGACCGCGCGACCCCGAGTGGGGCAGCGGGGCGCCGACGGCTCGACGCCAAAGGCAAGGAGAGCCACTAGATGCGACGCGCGCTACGCTGCACCTTGAGGCCCTTGTGGGGCACCCCGCGATTACCCGACGACCGGCACCGGCGGGCCGGGCACCACCTTGCCGCGGTGGGGACGGGGACGGGGTGGCTCCATATGAGGCGAGGCGCCGTCACGCCGTAACGGCAGCGCCTCGTCCTGGGAGGGCAGACAGACGGACGGGCAGACAGAAGGGCTGCAAGTCCCAGCTGAGAGGCACCTGATACCCACCTTTGAGGAGCTGCGAGGACAGCGGGTCGAGCGCCTCCAGCGAGGTGGGCTGGTCGTCGTCGGCGGCCCCGAGGCCAGTGCCCAGAGCGAGGGCTAGAACCTGGAACAAGAAAACACTCAATTTTACCGGTCGGTCCAGCCGCACTGGAACTTGGTCACGGATTTTAACTGGGCCGAAGGGCCGAAGCCAGGGCGAAATATTTGCGTCATCATTTTCTGCACTTTGTTCCTTTCTTGCTGAAAGGCAACCCTCGGAGGACGGCTTCGGCCTCGGCTTCGGCTTCCCCGCGCCAGTACGGCACGGCGGCACGGCGCGGGGGGCGGGCCGGGCCGGCGACCGGCGTTACAAGGTACGAACTACCGGAGCGTGCACGGGACACGGCGGCGCCTGCGGAGCTACGGAGCACCGAGGAGCCCGAGTACACCGTCACGGAGAGCCGCAGAATCACAACGGCGGCCGCATCATCAGCCGAATGCTAAAACCGGGGCAAAGGGGCCGGGGCCGAGACTGTCGCGGACGCGGCGCAGCGGAAAGTGCCAAAGTTACACCGTTACACCTACACGCGTCCGCCGGGTCCGCCACATGTCGGCGCAGCAAGCACCGCATGCACTGCACTGTCTGGCCGCGCTGCGACGCGCTGCGACGCGCTGCGACGCGCTGCGACGCGCTGCGACGCGCCCCGTGCACCGCGGCGGCGTGGTCGTGGTGGCCTTTCGAAAGGCTAGTGACATTTGGCGGCTTGGCGGCTCTCCGCCACCCCGCGCCACCCCGATGCACTCGCATGCACTTGCACTGCCTCGGCCGCCGAATCACACACAAAGCGCCAGGGCTGCGCTGCGCTATGGCCGCTCGGTGCCGCTAGACCGTTCCCTTCCGATTCGCTCTGTCTCTCTCGCACCCCTACGGACCCTTCGCGCCGCCCCACGAGTGCGAGAGCGACAGGCACTGTTGGGAATCGAGTTGCACTGCGGCCAGCGGCCGCCAAGAATGTCCCTCCCCGGCGCCCGGGGACCGTCTCGAAGCCGCAAGGAAGGCCCCACAGTGGGCCAGAAGACCGGCGGAGGCGGCCAAAACCCTAGACGCGTTTTGAGCTCCAGAGTCGCTAAATGGGGGTCGAACTGAACATGTGACCCCATTAATAGATTGCTCTCCGAAAGGGGAATCCATTGGTAGGGTCACGCGTTCGGTTCGAGGCCTGTTTAGCGACTCTAGAGCTCAAAACGCGTCTAGAGTTTTGGCCGCCTCCACCGGTCTTCTGGCCCACTGCGGTCCCTCACAATCCACCGACAACTCGCACCAGCTCACTCACTCACTCGCACCAACTCGCTCACTCACTCGAACCAGGCCGGAAGCTATAAAGCACCGCCGGGACAATATTCCTCCTCGCTCCACGCAAAGGGCACGGCGCTGCGGCGGAGCCTCAGCCTCAGCCAGTCTCAGCCGGCCGGGCCAGCCTCGCGGCCACGCCGAGGCGCTGTTACCCTTGGCGACGAGCTCGGCGAGCTCGGCCACCCCCGGAAGGAAGCAGCTAGCGGCGCGCGGCCGATTCCGCCCCCAGCGGACAGATTCGTCGCTCCGTCTCTCTCGCACTCACGCCCCGTCGCCGGCGTGCGAGAGAGACGGAGCGACGACGCTCCGCATTTCATTAAATGGCCGCCGAATCGATGAATGCGCGCCGCAGTCGCAGTGCCACGCAGTGTAGTCGTTTGCGAGTTTCCGGCGCCATCATCGAGTGACTAAGCCAGCCGAACAGTGCTTTCGTCTCGCTCGCACCCACGCGGAGACAGAGACAGCGCGACGTAAGCGCCGTTCGGAACCGCTCTGCTGCCTGGCTGCCCCACGGCCGCGAGCACGGCGTCGGCACGCGCCGCGAGCGCCGCGGAGGAGGCCTTGGCCGCGGAGGGGTCGACGAACATCTCCCCGCCCGGGACACATGCACTGCCATCTGGCCACCCTCGCGCGCGCCGCTCGCCGCGCTCAGCTGACTTCCCTCTGTCAACGCGAAACGCAACCGAGGCATGCAAGGCCGACGGCGCCGACGGGGTGGAGGAGCGATGAGCGCATCGCTCAGCGCGTCGCTCCCAAAACGTTTTGCCTTCCATCCCCGGCTTGTAATCGCCCACTCCATAAAGCCGCTCCCCGCAGCACACCGAGTGCCTCCGCCTTCAGCCCCGTCGTCGCGCCACTGCCAAGCGCACAGTGGGCCAGAAGACCGGTGTAGGCGGCCGAAATTCTGGACGCGTTTTGAGCTCCAGAGTCGCTAAATGGGACTCGAAGCGATCGTGTGACCCCCACCAATGGATTGCTCTCCGAGCGAGGAATCCATTGGTGGAGTTACACGTTCGGTTCGAGTCCTGTGTAACGACTCTGGAGTTCAAAAGTGTCCAGAATTTTGTCCGCCTCCACCGGTCTTCTGGCCCACTGTGAAGCTCGGCCAAGCGCGGCCAAGCGGCCCGGTAATCCCTGAATCATCGGCCTGCCGGCCTCAGATCGCTCCCGTGGGGTCATGGCGCGCCGCCGAAGGGCTGCGGGGCCGTGGTGCGGCGGCACTTGGCCAGCTTCATGAGGCCTGTCTGTCTGCCTGCCTGCCTGTCTGTCCGTGCTGTCACCGCGGCGCCAGCCTGGCAGGGCTGGCAGCCCGCGACGGGGCGTGGTCGAAATGATAATTCGCTGCCATGACGTGAAATCAGCGCGCGATCGCGAAAAGCATCAGGTAGGCGAGCCGCGCCGCTCTGCGTAGGGAGGCGTGCTGTGCGGTGCACTGCGAAATCCATCCTCATCACCGTCATCCTGGGCATAATGACGCAGAGCGACGCAGAGCGACGCAGGGTGTGTGGCCGTCTGGCCGGCCGGCCGCCGGGCCGTCGGTCGATGCGGTCGACGCACTGTTAGCTCGACGGTGCCCCAGCCAGCGGCCCGATTACCTGATCCTGTTCCACCCGACACATTTTGAGCTCGCGTGAAAAGTGTGAGGGCGCCAGTCGGTTGGCCGGCCTGCCTGCTTTCTTTTGGCCGCGCGGCAGGACTAGGCCAAACAGCGGCTAGGCTTGCCTGGCTATCTGTAACAACTAATCAGGGGGTCCCCTCGGGAGGACCCCCCCCGCATTGCCCCTAACGGGGCAGTGCAAAACCTGAGGCGCCGGACGAGCGGTCTGTGAGTACACGCACCCCTCGGCTGCTGCGACGACGGTATGGCGCGGGCAGTAGATTGGGAGGGTGGAAACCCCGACTGTACCAAAAGGTTGACAGTCAGCCCAGTTGTACGCGCGCAGCGGAGTGTCGCTCCTCGGAGCCGCACTCTGCGGACTAAGGGCCCCCTGTGTTGCCCATCAACCTCACTAAGTAACAGTGAGAGGCTCATGCTTGACAGAGCCGTTCGTTGAGCGTCCAACCTTAAACCTTAAACCCGACAGGCGTCACGCCTCTCGGCCTTCGGGAGAGCGAGGGCAGCGAGGGCAGCGAGGGCAGCGAGGGCAGCGAGGGGGTCCCAACTGCAACGTAATCCGGAGGAGAGTGGTCCCCGCGAGGGTGGCCGCCGTGTAGTGCCGAGCGCGGAGCAAGTGAGACGGAGATAGCGGACGACGCGGGGGGCGGCGGACGCCCGGCACGCCCACACCGCACGCACCGTCCGTCCCGCAGTGGGCCAGAGGACCGGTGGAGGCGGCAAAAATCTAGACGCGTTGAGCTCCAGAGTCGCTAAACAGGGCTCGAACCGAGCGTGTGACCCCACCAATGGATTCCTCGTTCGGAGAGCAATCTATTGGTGGGGTCACACGTTCGGTTCGAGTCTTGTTTAGCGACTCTGGAGCTCAAAACGGGTCCGGGGTTTTGACCGCCTCCACCGGTCTTCTGGCCCACTGTGCGTCCCTCTGTCCGCCGGCGGGGGTTGCTCCGCGCCGCCTTCCTCTCTTCCTCCCTACTTAAGTTAATTAGCGGACCGCCATTGTGTCAAAGTGGCCGCCCTGCCGGCCCGTCCGCCCGTCCGCCTGTTTGTCCTTGTGTCGCAGTCTGCGAGCGTTTCGTCTGCAATGCCGTCGTCGCCCGCCCCGCCTCGCCCCGCCCCGCCCGATTAATACTCCGGGCACACACCGGCCGGAGACAGGGACGGCGACGGCGAGAGGTGGGGGACGGGGCGGGACGCGACGCGCTGATCGGTTCGTCGGCCAAACGCCAGGGTCTTCTTCCTCTCTCGGTTCAGCTTCGACGGAGTGCTTGATCCGGTTCGAGTTACATCACCCTCATTCCGCGCGTCGGCCAGCACGGCCAGCGGGGCGTTCCAATACCCGAAATCGATTTGTCCGCCACCGGCAGAGTCATTCCGCCGCCGCTGTCTCCCTCGCACCAGCAGGGCAGTACGGCACGGCCCACGAGTGGGAGAGAGACAGAGCGGCGCGGCTGGCCGGCTGGCCCTGGAATTCGGCGCGAGCGAGATGACCGCCTCGCCCCGCCATGGCGCGCCACCCCGGTGGCGTGATGCGACGTCGCCGCCACCACGGCGTCCCCGTCCCCACGTCACCGCGCCGTCCCCGCGGCAACGCCCTCCGCGACCGTCGCCACGCCCTCCTGCAGGATCACGCACTGGGGCGCCACGCCGAGCCACGCCGCGCAGTGGGCCAGAAGACCGGCGGAGGCGGCCAAAACTCTAGACGCGTTTTGAGCTCTAGAGTCGCTAAACGGGGCTCGACCCGAACGTGTGACCCCACCGGTCTTCTGGCCCACTGTGCGCCGGGGCAGCGCACCGCGCACTGCCCTCGGCCCCGCGGCCCCGGTCAGCCTTTGCGAGCGAGCCAAGTTGTTCCTCCGCGTCGTCCGCAGTCAAGTCTGCCTAAATCAACGACCCCCGCGGCGGCCCCTGCCCGCCGGCCCCGGGGGTGGGGGCGGCGAGCGAGGGCGCGGCCCGGAGGGGGCGCTTGGCGGTTGCTAGGCTGCTGCTGCCGACGGCCGGGGCTCCAGCCAGGCTCCAGGCAGGCGGCGGCTGGTGCCGCGGACAGGATGCGATGGGACCCACACCAACACGCATGCGCGCGAGGCGAGGCGAGGCGAGGCGCCGAGGCGGACGGCTAAAAAGTCGCGCCGCAAAATCGCTCCGGTTTGCGTCCCCGACAGTGTACAGGTGCCGGCCGGGCCGGACCGGGCTGGGTCCACCAGGGGGTGCAAATGAATTAATTTATCATTTCGTCTGGCCCGGGCCGGGCCACGGCCTCAGCCATTCCAGCACAATTACCGATTCAGCAGCCGTTTCTCACCGACCCGATAAACTGGCCTCGGCGGGGCGGGGCGGGGCGGGGCGGGGCGGGGCGGGGCGGGGCGGGCGGGGCGCTCTCGCCCGAAACACGTCCGAGAGCTCCCTTCGCGTGCAGGGCAAGCAGGGCCCCGCAGAGCTGCGGGCCTCTGGCTGCCCCTGGCATGTGGCGGACTGGGATAGGATAGGGCCCGGTACTCTGAAATGGCACGAAGGGCGGAATGGCCCAGCCCAGCCCAGCCAAGCCAGCGGGGCAGCCCGAGGGACCAAGGGCCTGGTCTCTCTCTCTCTCTCACTCTCTCTCTCTGTCAGTCTACCCTTCCAGTAGAGGCGAGTTGGCTGCTAAACAACTGGGTGCCTTGTCTGTATTCATTACCCTAACGACACCGCGGCGGAGATTTAACAAGTGGCAAAGGCCGGGAGGGGAGGGGAGGGGAGGGGAGGGGAGGGGAGGGGGAAGCAAGGGGTGAATAAGCACCTGTAAGTGCCGCGGCGAGGCGCACACGCCACCGCCGGCACCGCCAGACCAGCGCGTGGGCAGAACGAGTTTCAATGGCTCGGGCTGCTTCGGCCGGCTTCGGCGGGCTGCAGTGATGCATTGGTGCATTCAGAGCCGGCTCCGCCTGCTGCAGGCCCCTTCCGAAGCGCTCTCGCTCCGTCGCTCCGTCTCTCTCGCGGCCCGGCGCGACGCGGCGACGCGGCGACGCCCGGGGAGTGTCCGACGGAGACAGACACCGTTTCATTCAATCGCAGTGCAGGCCCACAGGCCGACAGGCACGCCATTCATTCGACAACTTGCACTGCTTGGACTCAACGCTCACAGTGTTAGTCCACTCTCTCTCTCTCTTTCTGTCCCTCCCTCTTTCTCCCTCTCTCTCTCTATCTATCTAAGTCTCTCTCGTTCAAAATGGCGTGCAGAAGATTCCGCCATTCATTAGCGCACCCCTTCGTTTTGTTCGTCTAATCGTCCGGCCGGGACAAACGACCGCGCCTCCCGAACAGCTGATTAAGCGCACCTGGACGCGGGACGGCCCACGAGTGCGAGAGAGACAGAGGCAGCCTTAGGCTGGCGTAGTGCGGGGCTGTCCGGGGCGCGGCCGTTGGGCCGTTGCCCCCGGCAGGCCCGGCAGGCCCGGCAGGCCGGCACAGTGTATGGCAGGGCAGCCGATGGCGGCACCGAGGCCTCCAAGCACCAAGCACCAAGCGACCCAGACTCAATCCATTTCCCCCATCGACCCCGCGAGAGGGCCGCCTCCGTCGACACCGAGCAGCGTCGCGACGTCGGGCGCGGGTTCGAATCCCGGCACGGAGTGGCTGATTCGTTATTTGGCGGCGCCTGTTGCCTGGGAGCCTGCCTGGAAGACTGCCACCGGACCCACGTTGCTAATCCATTTCAGTGAAAACTCTCCAGCGCGGCTCGTGGGCGTGGCGGGGCGTGGCGGGGCGTGGCTGGGCGTAGCGCACGGGCGGGACGCCAAGCCTCGCGCCAAGCCGGCCCAGCCCGACGTGGGGCTGTCGACGGGAAGGGGCGCTACGTCCCCCCCCCCCCACACACACACACGCACACAAATGCTCTTGGCCGCGTCCTCCCTTGCCGTCGGAATGCGAAGCCGATAGAGCGGATAGTGTGCACCGTAAAAACTAAGTCATAGAGGGCAAAATAATGCGTACAAGAGTTAATCGAGATTTTACAGAAGATTTGCAACTGTAGGTGTCGACCACGAGTTGGGGTCGATTTTAATTTTGAGGAATTTCCCGCATTGTGGAGCCAGAGCGCCTGGGGGACTGCAGTGTGCTGGAGGCTGGAGGGGATCGATGCGATGCTGCGAGGCGAGGGCGTGTCTCGCCCTCGCCGACACACTGTCAAGGCGGCTGGCTTGGCCTGCTTGGCCTGCTCACTGCACTGCAAGGCTCACCTCATGTTTGTCCAGACTCGTCTTCTCCAGGAACGGGTTGCTCGTGGGCGCGCTGGCGGGCGACACCAGCACGTCGTCGACGTCATCCACGTCGTCGTCCACGGCGTCCACGTCCGTCTCGGGGCCCAGGTCGTCCTCGTCGTCCTCGTCGTCGTCCTCGTCCTTGGGGTGCAGCAGGCGGCCCTGCTCCTCGCTGGGGCTGGCGTCGAACACCAGGCCGTCGTCCCGCAGCCTGCAAATGGAGGAACAAACATTAGAGAACTTAGTTTTTGGTGGGGCGAGCGCCTGCAACGGGAGAGGGTAGGCAGTCCCGTTAAACTTGCGAGCGGCCGGGTTGCCTACCCGACAGGCGCTATCCCCGCCGCGGCCGCGCGGCCACCACGGCCCGGCGGAAGAGGCAAAACAGCGCCGACCCACCGCACTTCCGCTCCGCACGCCGACGCAAGCCAGCGCTATGCAAACCAGACGCAATCGGGTGCAATCGGACGCAACCGCGCCGAGCAACTGCAGAGCGGGGCCGGGCCGGGGCCCTGCTGCTCGGCGGACAAAACGGTGCAAACACGAAGTACACGAACGCCCGGCCGCCCCCTCCCCACCCCGCACGGCACGGCACGGCACGGCACGGCACGGCACGGCGCCTGGCGTTGCCGCGAGGCTCGCTTACAATATCAAACAACGCGTGGGGTGGCGGCGACGCGGCGGCCACAAAGGCAAGTGGCCGAGGCCGCCGAGGCCGCCGTCAAGGAGGTCCGCGAGGGTGTCAACTGCGCCAAACGACAGGGCGGCCAAGAGGCGGCAGAGGATGTCGCGCTCAACACGTGGCCTCCTCCAGGGGGTGCTCGACGGGGTGCTCCAGGACGCGCCGGGGCCTCGGGCGGGACGAGTACCGCCAGAGGGTGCACGACGACGACGACGCGGCGCGGGGGCGGTACAGTGTGACCCGGCGGCCTTCCCCTCCAGCTTCCAGGCGAGGGGAGGGGGAAGGGGAGGGGTGGCGGCAGGTTGCCTGGTAACAAAGCGAGAGCGGGGCAAACGGCCGCACTGGAAGGCCCTACACTGGAAGCCCCTACACTGGCAGCCCCTGCCCCGGCCGGCGGCGCTTTGCCTTCAATTTTACATTCGCCGACCCTCTAACCCTCTGCACCTGCCTGCCTGCACAGGGCGCCACCCCGCTCCGACGGGCCGGACCGGAAAATCGCTGGAAACACACAGCACTGCCAAAAATACAAAAAAAAAAAAACAACAAAGCCCTTTGTCCACTTTGCCGCCGCAGGGCGTGGGGCGTGCGTGCGGTCTACCAGCAGCGCCAAGGTGATGCGAAGCATCCCGCAGGTCGGCAACTCTAGCACCGCCGCCTGGAAAATTGGCAACTCTAGCGCCGGCCTGCAGTGCCTGCAGTGCCGTGGACGTGGACAGGGTTTCCCTGTCACACGAGCGCACCGGCGCGCTGCCGCACTGGGTCGCAGGCGGTCGCAGGGCGACGCACGGCCGCACACCTGTCGAAGCCGTCCGTGTTGTTGCTTATGGCCTGCCGGCCAGGCCGGCCAGTGTTGTTGGGGTAACCGGGTAACTCGACACAGTTGGCGAAAAGTACACCCGGCCTGGGGGCCCTGCGAACCCCACATGACTGGGCCACGGGCGCACAGCGCAGCACAGCGCGAAAAAACATGCGGGCAACGCCTCTGACTCTAGCCTCTACTCACCCGTTGGAGGGCAGGAAGGGGTTGCTGGCGTTGTCCACGGCGTCCAGGATGTCCATGCTGCGGCCGTACGCCGCCACCACTTCCGGCTCCTTGTCGGGAACCTCAGCACCAGAACCAGGGGCGATGAGCCCCACCGGCCGCAGCACCACCACCAGCACCGAGATGTTGTCCTGCGAGCCGGCGACGCGCGCGAGGTTCACCAGGCTCTGCGAGAGGCCGCCCACGTCTCCTGCAACAAACAGCACGCCGACGTCATTAGAACCCAATTAACGACGACGACAACAACAACAACAAAGTGCGCGATTAAAAACCAGAGTCGCTGCACCTTACATAAATCTGCGCAAGAAAAAAAAATGACATGGGTGCGTGCCACGTTGAGATAGTCTCACAATGTGCGGCATAATCGAAAAGAACAGTCAGACAGACAGACAGAGAGACAGGCGGTCGTGTGAAAACAGAGGATGCATGAGCGGGAGAATGCCAAATGAATAAATGAAAGAACAATTGATCGATCGACGAATGAGTGAATGAATGAATGAATGAATGAATGAATGAATGAATGAATGAATGAATGAATGAATGAATGAATGAATGAATGAATGAATGAATGAATGAATGAACGAACGAATGACGTAGGCGCGGCGCCGGTCGTTTGGCACGCGTTCACGTATCGCCGCGTGGCGAGGCGGCAAAACACACACAGCTAGCCTGGCCTAGGCCAACATGACCGTGTCACCACGCCCCAGCACGCGTGCGAGCGACGCGGCGCCAGCCGATATCGCCGCGACGGACAGACGGAAGGACGGGCACTCACCGGCCAACGCGCCATAGCCTTTCCTCAGGATGTGTCAATTAGGATCGACCCCTACGCTAGGCAGGCAGACCACCGCGCCTCTATCTCCGTCTCGCTCCCTCTCCTTGCCATGATCCCTTCATCACCCCGACGCTCCCTCCCGACCCCGCGACGCCCCGCGATACACGAGGCGGTCGCACACGACAACAAGCAATATGAAATTAATTTGGGGGCGTGCTCTCTCTCTCTCTCTCTCTCTCTCTCTCTCTCTCTCTCTCTCTCTCTCTCTCTCTCTCTCGCACACACGCAGTACTGGTCTATAATAACACCACCCCTAGCCCTGATTTGTGGCACGTTCCCATCCCCCCGACTTGCAGCGCGCTCGCGGGTGGCTGGGCCGGGTGGCGCGGAGGGAGAGGGAGGGAGGCAGAGGGAGGGAGGCAGGGGAGGGAGGGAGAGGGTGCCGCCGGCTTGTTTTACGAGCTACATTCTGTACAACATCTTCTCCAGCACGCGCCCCGCGCCGCCCCGCGCCCCAAGACCCCCGCGAGCGTGGAGGGAGGCGACGGCGCAGGACCGCGTGGACTACACGCCGCAAGGAGGCCGCGCAAATGCAAAAGACTCGCCCAGTCTCCAACTACTTGGAGCTCCTTTGGAACAAACAAAACGGCGCACACAAACACACAAACACACACACACACACACACACACACACACACACACACACACACACACACGGTGCAGCCTGCGCAACGTTGGGGTTATGCATAGAGTTCCAGCAGAGCCGGCCGGTGCGTGAGAACCCCAAGGAAGGCGGGCCGGTCTGGCGGGGCTGGCAGCCACGCTGGCAGCCAGGCTGGCTGCACCAACGCATTGCTGCACCTGAGCCCGTCCGAGCCCGTCGTCCTAACCACATCCCACTCTAGACGCCATCCCAGGCGAGCCGGGCGAGCCTCGCCGCCCCGCTTGCAGGCCGGCCAAGATTTATGCCCCGAGTTGCCCCACTGTGCCCCGCCAGGCAGGCCCCGCCAGGCCACGCCAGGCCTTCCACTGCACTGCATATTTGCACGCGGCATTCCGCCTCACTTCCACAGGGTGGCCACTCAATTCCAAAAATGAAATTCCCGGTTTTTTCCCGGTCAAAATTAAGGCTTTTCTAGGTTATTTTAGTGGTTCAAAGGCGCTTTTTCAGGGCGCGGCAGCGCCTCGGGAAGGCTTTGACCGCTGATAGTTTGGGAGCAGTGGTCTCGCAAAAATGGTCAAAAAGTGATTGAATCCCCGAAAGTATGATTGTCATTTCATTGGATGATGTTGATTGTTTCACTGATTACCAACTAGACGTGCAATGATTATCTTGAGTTGGGTACCCCTTGCTGCGGCACCGACGACTACGTTTGAACCTTCAGAAGAAATTGACCTACAGGCAGCGCAGGGCTTTTTCGCCTTTTTCCCGGATTCAATACGAAATTCCCGGTTTTTTCCCGGTTTTTCCAGGAGATTTTATTTTCCCGGGTTTTTCCCGGTTTTCCCGGTTTTCCCGGTCGGTGGCCACCCTGTTCCAGTGGCGGGGCTCCCAAAGTTGGAAAAGCGGTGTAATCCGCGAGGCGGCGCCAACGGCGGCAACCACCTGCCGAGGGCTAATTGCTTCGACTGGGGGCTCCGCGCCTCGCGCTGCGCAAAACAGCCAACACAATAACGGAATAAAATTAATTTTATTTTTCGAAAAATATACCTTTTTATTTTAGTCGAACACGCCCCTAGTACTGTTATTTTAGCGTGCCGCCCACTGTAAAATTTCCTCCACTTTCATTTTTCCAGTCCTTTTGTCCACGCGGGAATACAGGAGCTGCCGGCTCGCGACCAAATGCCTCCAGGACTCCTGGACTCCAGCACGGCCAAGCCGCCGCCCGGCCGCAATAATAAAATATCCCTGAGCGGCGTGTCGAAACATTGCATCGGATGGCCGTTATTTATCGACGTCGATTCAATCTCCTTCTAATTTCTGTGCGTGGGCCGCCGGGCCGCTCCGGACGGCCACGGCGACGACGCACAGTGGGCCAGAAGACCGGTGAAGGCGGCCAAAACTTTAGACGCGTTCGGAGCTACCGTGTCGCTGAATGGGACTCGAATCGAACGTGTGACCCCACCAATGGATTCCTCGTTCGTAGAGCAATCCATTGGTGGGATCACACGTTCGGTTCGAGTCCCATTTAGCGACTCTGGAGTTCAAAATGCGTCTAGAATTTTAGCCGCCTCCGCCGGTCTTCTGGCCCACTGTGCGCCGCCGACGCTGCTGCAGCATGCCCTGCCGCCATCCCTAAGCTCCAAATATATCACGCCCCGAAAGGCGCCTCAAAGTGGTTAAAGCGACACTCGGCCGGCATTATTTTTAGAAAAAGGAAAATAAACCATACTAGAGGCGGCGCCCGAGCGTTCCATCGGCTTATCGCCCATTACGGCCTCCAGGATTTTACCCACCACCGCCCCACTCGCAGGATAGCTCCATTGCAAACGTTCAACAGTTCGGCGCAATTTTTGGCGTCCAGTCGCTGAAGAATGTCACCGTCCTGCCCGCCTCGTTGGCGAATGAAACCAAGTGACGCGGACACGTCACTGTCACGCAGCGAGACGGACGGACAGACTTGACAGACGCCCACGGAATTGTACTGCATCCAAAACAAGTGCAAGCAGCCGTCACATGATTACAGTGCCGGGCCTCGGGATTTGGTAAGCGCACACGAAACACGAAAACGAGGCGCAGAGGACGGAAAACCGTTCCACCGACAAGAACGAGTCGGGTCGGGTCGGGAAGGAGGGAGAAGTACGTAAGTCGACCTCCGGGCGCGGAGGCGGGGCGGGGCGAACGCGTGGGCCCGTCTGGTCAGGGCGGGGCGGGCGGGGCGCGGGGCGGGCGTCAGCGTCACAACCGCGTAACCCCTCATCGCTCACCTCAGAGTTACGCCCCTCCGGGCTGCGTCCGAGGCGGCCAGACGAACGCGTCCTTGTCAAGGTAAAGAGCCCGGCGCATAGTGGGCCAGAAGACCGGTGGAGGCGGACAAAACTCTGGACGCGTTTTGAGCTCCAGAGTCGCTAAACAGGCCTCGAAACGAACGTGTGACCCCACCAATGGATTCCTCGTTCGGAGAGCAATCCATTATCACACGTTCGGTTCGAGTCCCATTTAGAGACTCTGGAGCTCAAAACGCGTCTAGAGTTTTGTCCGCCTCCTCCGACCTCTGGCCCACTGTGCGGTGACTGGCAGCGCCCCCTGGTGGTCGTCTAGGATGACAGCGCGGGCACGTGGCAGAGTTGGACTCCTATTTGCCAGTGTGCTCCAGACGACCAATTATCGAGTGCCTTCTCGAGTCTCTTGCAATTGGTTTTGCCGCGGGGACGGTCAGCAATTCGATCCCGAAAACCAGTCGCTTCGTCGCTCTCTTTCGCTCTCGCACTCCCCACGGGACGCGCCAGGGGTGCGAGAGAGACGGAAACTCGTTCGGCCGCGTGCACTTTATGTCGTCCTGGCCACGGCGTCGCGGCGTGCCTCGACGTGTCGCGGCGCCGCACGCCCACCGCCTCCAAGCCGGCCGCCGTCCTGGACCGGGTCCTGCACCGAGCCCTGGACACACCCAGTCCACCCGGCCCGGTTCAACGCCACTGGTAATTGCTTTGCGTTCATCAGGTGGCGGGGCGTCGCTACCCCACGCGCCAGGCCCTGTCGTCCTGCCGCCGACCTGCCCGTCGACGCGGAGTATCGCCGATCCGGCCAACCCCGCGCCTCCACCGCCAGGCTACGCCCAGGCTACGCCAGGCCCATCATTTCAGCTCCAACACGCCCAGCCAGCGGGGGAAAAGGCTGGCGATACTCCGCGCGCACCCGGGGGTAAGAGGAAGGGAGAGGAAGAGGGAAGGAGGAGAAAAATGGCGGCAGAAAACGATGCGCCACGATAAAAAAATGGGCATAACGAGTGCGGCGTGGCGGAGCGTGGCGGACATCGCAACGAGAGCGTGGCGAGCGTGCTCCACAAACCACAGTGTCCACGCTCGCGTCGCACAGTGGGCCAGATGACCGGTGGAGGCGGCCAAAACTCTACGCGTTTCCAGCAGCAGAGTCGCTAAACAGGACTCGAACCAAACGTGTGACCCCACCAATCGATTCCTCGTTCGGAGAGCAATCCATTGGTGGGGTCACACGTGCGGTTCGAGTCCCCTTTAGCGACTCTGGAGCTCAAAACGCGTCTAGAGTTTTGGCCACGTCCACCGGACTGCGTCGAGTACATTCCGGAGCGTTCCGAAAGCACAACACTCTGTACAGCACGCACACCGCAGTATTGCCCTTCATTTGTCTGCGCGGCGAGTGCCGAGGCGAGAGTACACAAGACAATCACTTGTGCTTTTTTTTTTAACGCGCCTTTCGAAATTGGTTTGGCCTTCGC